CCAAACCAATCAGAAAAATGAACATTTGAACATACATCAGTGTGGTAAGAACTACCTAAAATGACAACCATGAAAACCGTCCTTGGGAAATATCTATTTGACGTGTACTTTGATTTTTTTGTTTGCCCCATGTCCCATCTGCTAACACTGAAGGGGTGGGGTTTATGACCTATAGTACAGCCAGCCACCAGGGGGTGACCGCTGGCTTCACCATTGGGAAGCTGTCAATGTCATCCATCTTTTCATGACTTTTTTACAAGTTTACCCTGTGTTCTTATGTTCTGTGTTATGTTCAATTACCTACAGTAGGATGAAAGAACTTTCAAAATCCATTAATATAATTTTTTTTTCATCCTAATATGTTTTTTTTTCTTACCAACAGTGCTGGACGGTTGCACTGATGCAACTCTATCCAGGGACATCTGCTTCTTCTCTTTGTCCTTGTCCCTGCGTCGATGGCACCGATGGTGGTGGTGATGGTGGTGGGCTCTGTCCTGGCCCTGGACTTGCCCTGGCCCTTTTGAGGACTGGGCCATGCTGGGCCTTTCCAGGTCATACTCCCTCAGCCCGACCTCCTGGTGGTGCGGCTGCGTCAGCGAGGATGCTGAGCGTCTTATAGGACTGAGGTCGACGATCGGCTGAGAGGAAAAGAGAAACATGGAGAGGTGTGAGGAAAAAAGTAGTGCAGGTGGGGGTGGCTGAGGTGGTTTTACCCAAACCACTTGTACTGGATCACCAAAATAGCCACGACACACAAATGACACAACCAGTGGACGGCAACCTTTGTCTTAAGATCGACGTTCAACCCGTTCTTCTCCAGGCACAGATGTAAAGAAGGTTTGAGAAGAATGAACACAAATCTGTGACAGAACTTGAATACTTACTGTTACCAAAACTTACATAATTTAGCAGGCGTCTCTGCTAGAGCACAAAGAAGAGGTGGGGTGTTGACTTTGGCCTTTGAGGCACTCTAATCTTGGAAAAAAGTGTAATCTTTCTGTTAATAGCCAATACTTTCTAAACCACCCATTATGTTTTACTTAAAGGAATACTTCACTGAAAATATACAATTTAAGAATCAAACAACACTCACTGTCTATCAGCTTCAGAGATGACTGAAAGGCTGTCATACCACATTTCACTGTACTGCATTGTAGATCTGATTGCTATCAGACATAATGTGAAGATTTAAATTGCTCAAGCATTATAAAATTCTTTATACGAATAATGTTGAAAGTACAAATCCAGTTGGATTGTTTGTTTTGACTTGAATGCGAGTGGTTTTTATTACACATCTTTCTGACATTGTTTTTTTTGCCTTGATTATCTCTCCTTGTTTATTGTCTCGCCTGTTTTCAACAGCTATTGGATATGTAAAAACCTGCAATAACTGATTTCTATCGACTTGGTCTCCACCAACTCCTGAGGGAAATATCTGGCTCTTTAGCTACTGAAAGCTTCACTACATTCACCAGCTGGTTGCCAACATTTTGTCATTATAAACTATTGATTATAGCGGCTTTAAGTATACAGTAATGTATTCCTTTAAAATGTTGTATTCACCAATTTCTCTCCAGGGATTAATATTTTGACTAATGCTTTGAGAACATTGACACTCACCCCACCTAATTCTTATCGTACTGACCAGTACAGCTATCAGGAAACAAACTGATGTGATAGGGAACTGGAACAGCAGCTAAGTTACCACCCCACCTGCTGGTTACTGTATAGTAGTATATAGTTTTTGAAGATTTAAGTTTCCAAATGTATCAGTATGTTAAAAAGCTATGCTAAAAATGTATTTAGCCATGCTATTTTGAGAAACTTTGACTACTCACTAAATTACAAACGATATGATCGAAATGATTGATGAACTGATATTTTGCTTTCACTGACAGATTTAGGGTGGTTGTCCTGTTCCTCTTGTTCCTACCCCACAGCCTGGCCTGTAGCTACAGTCAGGGACAACAATATCACAATACTGCAGAAAATGTTCGTATTACCAAGTCATTTAATCTAGTATGCAGTCTTAAAATCTTACCTTTAAGATAAATGTCCTGATATGCTCTTAATAAGAAATAAAAAATCCCCCAGATTTCTTTCAAATGACTGAAAGAGTCTTAAAACGAGGGTAAGTAAAAGAGTAATAGGGATGAATCAGACTTGTTTAGTTTTTATTTTCATGTATGAAAAATAAGATTTTAAGACTGAAAGTAACATCAAATGACAGATAAGGTTGAACGGGTTTTTGTGGTGTAGTTGAAAGAAAATTGTTATTTCAAAGCAAGAAAGCAGCGATACTGTCCCTGCCTTGTTTCACAATCACACACCAATTCACAAAAAACTACACACTACTACACTACTACATAACAACACTCACATACACACAACCACATTTTACTAAAGTGTAGCACTGTGCTGCTGTAATTAATGCCTGAAAAGCAGGGCAGAGTGTCTGACATACCCCAGATACACATACAAATACTTTTCCAGGGATGGATATGTTTTGTGGGTAATGTAAATTTGTGTGTTGCATGTAAAGTGACTATCGGCAATTTCATGGAATGACCAGAGAATATTATATATGTAGGAGGGTCACTTTGTCCATGATGGTGGGAGAGGTGTGAACTCTGCACTGAGATGAGAGGGAGCGCATGGAGGCAAACACAGACATGAGATAAGAAGAAAATAGAAAAGGAGGGAGAGGACAAGAGGAGGAGAGAAAAAGAAGAGGAGAAAGAGAGAGGTGGCACAACAGGTGGTACATACTGCCAGGTGGGTCCCAGGGGCGTGGCGAGGGTGGCTCCGCTATCAGACAGCACACACAAGAGGGAGGTGGGCAAAACATTAGCAGTGGTCATCAAAATTAGGAAAAAAGGGAAAACAGAAGAGGAGAGGAGAGGAGAGACGCGAGAAGCTTAAAGCTGGTGATATTCTGTATTTTCTTATTGTCAATAAAAGACCCAAACCAACGATGTGATGATCATACTAACATATTGTCTGTGTTCACGTAGTTTATTTTATTCCTCTGTGCCATAGACCAACTGTAGCTTATTTTGACCCTCACACACCATCCTGCTGTTGTTAACACTCATTTAGACCAACTGTATATTAATCTATAGCTTGAAATAGTCCCAGGTAACTACTTGCACATTTAATAACAATTACAGAGCCCAGCTGTTTAGCCTTTATTAGAAATAAAACTATATATTTGTTGTGTTTTCAAAGCATTACGTCCTCAGTTGGAACAAGGGGTTAAATTAGAGAAATCTAAAAAATTATTGAGAGATGGACCAACACACTGTTGGTTTTGGTCCTTGCATGGGATTTCTTGACAATAACAAAATATAGAATAATGCCAGCTTATCCTTTAAAGAGAAAGAGAGAGTGAGAGATCAAAATGCAACATAAACATAAGGAAAGCACATGTTAAGTGTTGTGGGAGAGAGGTGACAGAGAGAGACAGACTAAAACACAGGGACAGGCAAACAGCGAAGCTAAACAGACAACATCAGACAAGTGAAACAATCCAGGAGACAGAATGATGGACAGAAAAATCCTCGTCACATGACATCCATATGCAGCAGACAAGCAGCAGCTACTGTAACTCACAGAATGACAGTAAAAAAAGTGAATTTAAACATGGATAAAACTCAAATAAAAGGATTACTTCACTTCCCACTCAACTGCCATCCTATTGCAGGTGAGTGTGAATAATGTACAAAATATAAAAAGAAAAATTATGAAATACATTTTTAATAATTGTTTTAGTGACGTAAACCAAATACATTTAAAACATTTTTAAACTAGCATCGGATTACCAAAAAAATTTATCAATATTTGCAGTTACTGAAATCGGTATGCCGTCTAGTTTCTATTTTAAAGCAAAACACTATATGACTGAATGAATTGTATAATTTGAACTGTCCAGGGCAGTTAAATATCAGGAATTGTGGATGACAACATTACCATCACTGTAGCTTTCTACTTTAAAACAATACTTTAGTACCGTGTGATTGTATTTTTGCACTTAGTTTACTGTATGTGACATTGCCAGATGCAAAATTCGTTAAAACTATAATTTGAGCCAATAATATTCTTCCATAAATTACTTCAGTCTTTTAAATATCTAAATATTGGGACTGCAGGAAATTTAAACGTAAAGGAATCATTAAGTATTTTCGGAAATGGTGCTTTCTTTCTGAGAGTTAAATGAAAAAAATCAATCCCACTCTCATGTGTATAGGACTAGAGCCAGCAGCTACTTAGCTTAGCATAAAGACTGGAGGTATGGGGAAAACGCTAGCCTGGTGTGTGATATTGTGGAGAAAACATAGAGCAGTAGAGTAGAGTCTATCTCTATCCTGGATTTCCTCCTCAGTATAAATGTGAACTTGTCAAACTGGCGAGTTCGGGGTCAGCAGGATGAACTGATGAGGACTGACAGAAAGCGACTCTGCTTCTGTTCGCTAACGGCTGCTTTCACTAACCGGCTACCGCACCAGCCTTTTTCAGCCAATATCTCCCACTTCAGCCACCTGTTTAATGCCAAAGGAAGCCATTATGCTTTTGTATTTCCTTTCACATTGCAGAAGGATTGTCTAATTATTTAATCAAGAAAAACCTGAGGTATCCAGAGTGTCTCCATTTTCCAAATTTCGATTTTATCCCAACAATGCAGTTCAAACTAAACAACTGAATGAGCCAAAGAGATCTTTTCTGTGAGCTCTAAAACAAGAGGCATGGCATCATGAGCACTGTAGAGCTTACGTAGTACTCAGCATTGAGTCGGGGCAGAGAAGCTGCTCTGCAGTGGCCTTCCAGGCTCGGATATCCCTCTGTGTCTGAAATGTTCTCCACCTGCTTCAGTTCGACCAATTCCTGAAAGAAAAAGAAGAAGCAGTATGTATGGAGGCAACAGAGGACACAGACGTCACAGAAAGCTAGAATGTAAAATAACACTTCGATGTTGAAGTATTCTTAGTGTCAGTGTACCTGAGGTCTGGTGGAATATGGCACGTCCTCTGACTGGCCTCTCTGTAGTTTCCTTCGGCCTTTGGGCCTCTGTGCTGTCTGAGAAACATCTCCGGACTGGGAATGTTTTATGGCACTCCTCTGGTTTAGTCTGTATAAATGCACAAGATCTCTGACTGTAATACTGATAATCAGTGTTGTAGGTAGGACTATAACCTTGCATTTTTGCATTTTTGTTGCAACGATTAGTCAATTAATTGATTAGTCAATCAACAGAAATCTGATTATAATAATCAATTCATCCCTTAAAAGGTCCAGTGTGTAACATTTAGGATGTTCTATTGGCAGATATTGAATATTCATAGTTATGTTTTCATTTGTCTATAACCCCCTTGAGAGTATTAATCATTGTGCTTCTGTTACCTTAGAATGAGCTGGTTTTGTTTTGGGACTTTTTGCCTTTAATTTATCCTTTCAGCTCTACAAGGTGAGCTATCAGGGCGCCCAAGAATGAGCCATTTTTATGTAGAGAGGGAGCAGGTCCTCTTCTACGGAGTCCGCCGCGTTTCTACAGTCGCCCAGAACGGACAAACCAAACACTGGCTCTTGATACGGCCTTTAGTGTTTTTCATGGCCACTATAGTTTCTCCTACATGCTGGGTAGCGAGCGGTATTCAGTTGGTTGCAAACTGCAAATGCCACTACATCCTACACACTGGTCCTTTAATTTTCCCATGTTTGGACAACCGTTTGAATTTTGACTAAAAAGTAACATCCATGAATCAAAATCAATAATGATTTACAATTTATCTTTAAATAATACAGCAGAGAATAATGAACCAGTTAAAACCATGGTACGCTTGCTGGCAATGTAGTTGATGTACATCTATGCAGTATCTTAAAAAAATTGGTGAGTGTTATTCAGTTGTTTGCAATCTGCAACTTCACTGCAGGATGCCCTTAAATCTTACAACCCGGTCCTTAAATTATTTTCATCAAAAATACCAAACATTTTAAAGTTACAAGTGACTATTTTCAACGTATGGATATGGACACAGTATGTTTCTACTGTATATGATAGAGTAGACAGTCACTCACATGTCCCTGTTGACTGAGGTGGCAGCAGTGGCGGTGGCGGGCATTGCCTCTGGCTTTGCTTCAGGCTCAGGCTGGGGTGGGGGGGCTTATTGGGGATGGGGAATGGGGGTTCTACTTCCAGTATGTGAGTGAGGGGCAGCACAGGACGGAACAGCGCCCCCAGTTTACTCTGCAGGACAGATCAACCACAAATGCCATGAATGAAGTTGTTACACTGACACTGAGTTTGAATCAGGTAGCAGCATAATGAAGCATATACACACTGAAACAGCAACAGATCGGTTTATATATAGAGTAGAAGGTCAAATGTGGTTGTTCTTGATTAATGAATCATAAATTAATCAAAATTGAGCTTCATTACGTCTTATTATTGTTATTAAGTCTCATGTTCAGCCTCCACAAATTATTTTGCTTAGACCAATGAATTAACTGAAACGGAGTAGTGTAGGTTGCTGCAGCTGTATGAGTAAAATGAAGAATGATAAAATGAGTTCATGGTACTCTTAGTTTATATATAAAGCAAGGGAAATTATCTCACTCCATCTGTATTGTATTACTATGACTTCCGCATGGTTAAAAAAAACCCCACAAAACTGACTTCAAGATTTCATGAAACTAAGAAAATCTGGCTACTACAAAGCTTGAGTTTGATATAAATAATAAAAAATAAAATTATGCTAAAAAGAAGATTAATTGTCTTTAAATTCAGCTCATTTCAGGACTTAATGATTTAAGACGAAACCAAATGAGATAAAAACTTATATCATGGGGTTGTGTCCTGTTAGTCTCGTTTAGTCATCTTAAATCCAAATATATAGTATCCCACTCACTAAGATAAGTATTTTTTATCTGCCTAAACCACCTCTGAGCTCATTATATGGTCTTTACAACACGCTGTACCTGTTGTCCCCCTGAAGACTGCTGCTGCTGGAGCCTCTTTGCACGGTTCTGCTTATAGTAGTCAAAGATCATCAGAGCTGCGTAGACTTTCCCCACAGTCAGCTCGTTGTCTAGGGGAGAGAGCAGAGTGAGGGGCAAGTTCTCCATGTGGGCAGCAGATGGCGCCAGATAAGCAACAAAGTACAACTCAGAGAGGGGGAACATTTACAGTATGTGCCTGGTCAGTGTGGGTGTGCACGGAGCTGCACTCTCATGTTCACCAGAAGAACAGTATAGACACACAGTGAACAATCTACACCTCTTTTAAATATGTGTTGCATATCTTGAAAGAAAACACAATTATGCTTATCAGTGCTCTAACATCAAGAAACATCATACTTTTGAGAAATGTGTTTACGCTGGCAGAATATTTAACTTGTTTTGAGAAAGCAGAGTATCCATTTTACCAATTTTCATCTTTTATTTCAAAAGTCTTGTTTTCTTAAACAAGTTAAAAAATCTGCCAATGATGAGTTTAATACAATACAAATAAAATTAATAAAAATGTCAAGAAATATCTATAAGTGTCAGTATCTTAAAAGAAGATATAATAAGAAGAATAAGAAAGATCAATTAACATAAATTTAGACTTGAAACTTCAGATTATCTCACCTATCTACCTATTTTTAATTTAAGTTTTTTGGAAATTAAGACTTTTAGGACTCAATAACAGACAAACAAAAGCAGAGAGCAGGGATATTTTTGCAGCACATGGCTATAGAAAGCAGCTAGAGGAACGGAAAAAGAAAACTTTAAAAGATGAAGTAAGATAAACAAACAGGAAGAAGTCCAATGACAATGTTTCAGTGGAGCCATTACAACTCGAACTGTGGCTCACATTTATGCGGCGTCACCAGCAGGTCGACAGTCTTCTGCGACAGGTTGGGCCAGACTCTGTTTATCTCCCTCTTCAGGTCAACGTCAGACAAACGCTGCGCCAGGACCCCTGGGGACGTGCCCACAAACATGTCACATCAAATCTGCACCAGAGTGATCACCGCCATTCACATTAACATCAGAGCCGTCAGTCCAGCCGTGAGGGATTCTGGATTTTGTAGTTTTAGTCTCTCACCAGATGCCAGTTTGATCTCCAGGGCCGTGCGTATGAGAGCCATCAGCGTGGAGGTGAAGTGCACTGTGTTGTCATCCGCAATGGGCATGTTCATCCTCACCAATCGCTGAGAAGAAGCAAAGAGGAGGGGACATGAACCACGAACAAACAAACAGCAGCTCGGGGGAAGGAGGCTCCATTAAAGATGGAACAACAAGCCAAATTAAAGGGTCCTGGTTCTAATAATAATAGTGAGAGGTTTTTCGTTTAGTTTCAGTCCAACATACAGAGGAACTTTACCAGTAATATAAAACAACTGGCGAAGAACCTCCACAGTTAAATTTTAGGGCTCCAACTAATGATTTTTTTCACTGCGATTCATTGATTAATTATTTTTCTGATTACTCTATTAATCGTTTAGTCTATAACTTATCAGAAAATACTGAAATATGCCCATTACACTTAGATTAGTTAGTTATTAATTATTTTAGTCCATGCAAAGGCCTCAGCCTGTGTGGCCTCCATCCACACCTTTTTCAAGCTAAAGGCACTAAACAGATGAATGCAGGGAGCTGTTGCTATGAGACTATTGCAAATCCAGCAGAAGCATAGCACACTTCTGCTAAAATATGATTAACTCGTGATGCTGAGCACCGTGAGCTCTGTGAACATGCTACGCTCTCACTGTTGCTGGAAACATGCAGCAGCACATCCTCGTTCTGAAAATAATGACTTGGAGGCCTGAGGAGAAAAGAGAAGCCGGCACCATTAAATATTTAAATTCTTCCAATCAACTTTTTTCCCCCCAATTAACCATTTCCAATCTCCTTGCTTTACTAGGTTTCTAGAAATATGTCTGTGACTTGAAACAAGAAAGATAAGCCTGCACTTGCATTGGCTTTAGAAAACTGAACAACTGAACTTGTTGATTCAAAGATGAGTCTAATAATTAATCAATTTAAGATAGTTTAAGTCATTTATCAAGCAAAAATACCAAACATTTACAGGTTCTAGCTTCTAAAATGTGAGTATTTGCTGCTTTGTTTCTGTTTATTATTGTTTATTGTTATATCATTCTAAATGGTATATCTTTGGATTTTGGACTGTTGGTTGGACAAAACAAGCAATTTAAAAACATCACCAGCCCTATGTTCACTATTTTCTCACATTTTATAGACTAACTGATGAATTGGTTAATATCAAAAAACCTCTTACATTGCAGTGTACTGTTTAGTTAGCACAAAGGCTAAATTATGAATTATGAATCAATACAGTAGATTATGAAACTTTAAATTTATCAGGCATTCATTGTAATAAAGTAGAAACTGATCAGCATAGATCCATGCCATGCAGGGCGTCTGGATAAATGCTGCAGTGTAAAGATTCGTACACACATGCGTTTGAATTAGTACACCACATTTACAGTGAAGATGGAGGGGTGGCAGAGGAATGTACTGGATATAGAACTTCTAATAAAAAAACTGAAAGCAAAAATCATCAGAAACATCTGTGAAAAAAGAAAACTGTGGCTTTTTTTTCAAACTGAGTTGAGGAAAACGAGAAAGCATATTCGCTCTGGGAGCATAACAATACAGATGGAGGGATGACAAGCAAGGAAGAGGAGGAGGAGGAGGAGGAGGGGTAGTAAGTGCCTCGACTGGAAAGCATCTACGCATGTAAAGTCTTGCATCCTTTTCCCAGAAACAGCGAGCATAAGAATGGCAGCCGCAGACATGAGCATCAGACAAATAAAGAAACACATAATCAAAAAGCACATTATGCAGAGGACACATGCTTGCAGACAAAGACCGTACATGCACACACACAGACACACAGTGAAGTTAGAGGAGGAAGGAGAGAGGATACAAATCCCTAGAGAGGGTGAAAGAGAGAGTGTGGAGCTCAGCCTGAAGACAGAACATAAAACAGGAAACGAGAGGGTAACGGGGACAGTTGTGACTGTCAGGGGAAGATGTGTTCATTAGGAAGGGAGGTTAACAAGGAGCACGATCAACTGCGAAGTAAAAAAATAGAAAAATAGAGATGGGGGGGGGGGGATGCTAGCCTTGCTCTCAAGTGCACTGCTGCTCTCTCTGTGTCTTTGTTCATGTCTTTCTCTGTCGATTCATAAAAACAGGAGTTATATTTGGAGATGCGACCACGTCAGACCCAGACATTTTTAACTGGGGCAAGGGCAGGGCTGCTTTAAATGTGATTCATCTCGACAGCTGTGCATGCACTGGAACCACTCACATTAAGTCTGCATGCTAAGAGGTAAGCAGCTGGCACAGGGACTACCTGAGGATTGTTGAGCTGTATACTTGACTCCTACTTCACTAGTATACAAGTCTTACATATAATTATGGAATAAATGTGCCAGAAGATGGTAAAAGTGTTCTTAAATGTCCCGTCTTTCAGTGTTGAGAAATCCCTCAATGATTCCTGATTAGATGATGAGATCCTGGACTAACCCAAGTGTTCCTTGGCCAAACCTTATGCCCAATTACATTGAAATATGCACATGCATTTTTTGGCCACTAGGGTGCAGAAAAACTCCAAAACAAGATTTGTTGGGAAACATTTATCTATTTTCACATCCGGGAGACACAGGGCAAAGTTTATTTGAGGCTGAGTTTTTATTCCACATTATAATTCTATCCAATGTTCACTCTTTTTAGGTCTGGTTTTGGTCTCCACTAGTCCCATTTACAACTTCAGCTTTGCATATGTTACTCCATGATTTGGTAACATGGCGTTCATGATGGGAAACGTGAATACAGCCATGGTAGACTGTACTAAAGCACAGTGGTTCTTTAAACTAAATGCTAACTTCACAATTCTAACACCTCAATGCTAACATGCTGATACTGACACTGTAAACATGCAGATGTTTAGAAAGTAATGTTAACCATGTTTAACATCATAGTTTAAAGGTGTTAACATGCTAACATGGTAAACAACACCAAACAGAAACTACATCCGAGGATGATGGGAATATCAGTTCTAAAGCTAGACGGATGGTAAGTCTGCAAATATTTGGTGATAAGCCAGTCTTGGACAAAGTCAAAACTTGACCTGATGTTGGCGCTACAGTTCATCCTGTGGGAAACATGAAGGTCTAAACTCATGGAAAACTGGACCAAATATGTCAACCTGATGGTGGCACTAGATGAAAGGTCATGGTCATCCTCTGCGCACCATGAACCAAACGTACAAAATTTCCTGGGAATTTATCCGGACGCTGCCATCACTAAATCTCTGTCTGTAGCTTGGCAGAAAATCAAAACGTTATCTTTCACCAGTTATCCAATGAGTTGAATCTTCAAAGGCATTTTTTGATCTCACAGATGTCTACAGTCTGCCCAGAATAATAAAATAATTGTCTGCAGTAAGAGGACGTTTTAAACTTGATTCACCCCAGACAGATCTTTTATAATTTCAGGCAGACTGTAGACATCTGTGGGAACATCTGAAGATGCAACATGTCGCTGGTTATCAGGGAAAAAATAAAGATTTTTACCCCACGAGTTTGCATTGAGAACACAAAGTGAATAAGTCCCAGAGTAACTCCTGAAGTCATAAACAGGGCTAGGTTCCCACCAGATCCTGAGAAAGAAACCAGCTGAAACAAGGTTGAAGAGAGCGCAGAAGCTATGGTAAAACCAAAACTATGAGTTAAAAAGCTCAGTAAAGGTGCAGAGTTAATTCATTGTGACCCCTTTCTCACTATACATAGCCATTCATTTGTTTCAATATTAAAAGAATATTTATCATTGCATCTACCAAACAGACAAACAAAAGAGTCTGAAAACATTACGTCCTTGGCCAAATTAACAAATGATTTGTTTTTTTTCACTCATCATCATTTTGATTCTCCCTCAGATGATTTTGACGAGATATGTCAAATATTATGGTTTTCCTCAGCTGTCTGATTTATCTTTATCAGTGTTACACAGTCCTCTAGTAAACGATCAGAGTGTACAACAAACCCTTACAGAGCAGGACAAGGCCACAGTAGAACAGAAAGAACACCACAACAGCAGGCCGGAAGATACCGACTGCGACACACTGACTGCGACACACTGACAGAAGCCTGAAGATGTTTGACAGGTGGAAGCAGGGAACCAGCAGTGACTGAAAGAGGGAGGGAAATGGAGGAGGAAGGAGGAATTCTACCTTATAGGCGACTCGGGGGGGACATTTCTTTCCCAAACCTAGCGGAGGGGACATGTCGCGAAGCATCTCGTACATATCGCGGTAATTCATGCGGCCGCTTCCGGGGTGAAAGATGGTAGGAGGCCATGGATGGAGGAATGAAGATTTCCCAGGTGAGGAAGGATTGAAAGGGTAGGGGGAGTTACACCATCACAGAAAGTGGCAAAATCCAAAAGAGAGAATGGGAGGGGGAAAAAAAGAGGAAAAAACAGAAATCCTTGTTAATAAGATTTCTAGGATATCATGATCTGGAATGCCATCCTAGCTGGATTTAAGAATTCAGGAATGGATCCCAGAGGAGGAGGGAAGAGGGGAGGATGCTTCCGGAGGATTCCCTGTGCAGAGATTCTGGGTGGAGGGATCCTGGTGGAAGATATGAATTTGGGAATGAGAGTGCATTTAATTTAAAAGGCTTACTCCCCTAAAAATCTGTCTTTTGAGTGTCAAACATTCACCACCTGCTGGCCTGAAAGCTGTGCAGAGATTCTGGCATAGTGACCTAACCGGTATTGCAGGTCACATGACGTGCCTGAGCCCAAAAATACTTCCGCATCCTTCATGTAAAACAATGAATATTTTTTTCCAAAATATATATAAATATTACCAAAATTTCAAGACTTGTATTGGGAAGACATTAAAGCTAACATGTACAGGCACAAAAATATATTTTCTTATGTGTGAGCAACTAAAATTGTTCAACTCCTGGCACCTACATTACCCATAATGCAACTCAGCCGCCAACAGTTCAGTCAGAGTTATCATGCTAGTAGCGGCTAATGTAGCCTTGAACGGCAGGCCTCAAGCAGAGATGAGGAGCTGGCTACAGAGGTCTGGTAAACTCACTTCTTTCTAACTCCACACCATATGATTTTTCATTTCTAACTTGTAGTCTTCAAACCGAAATAACACTGACTCAGGTGACATCACTTAAGGCAAATGGTCAAGTTTCACACAGCCCCTTTTTCCACATGCAGCAGGACTCCGCCACACCTGTAAACAAACTTTGATGTGTTTATTACATCCATGGAAAAACTCTTCTTCCTTACACTGCTCAGAAAGGATGTTTCTGAAACATATAACAGGGGGAAATGGATTATGCTGCAAGAGTGGTTTGAGAATTTTCTCTGGTTGTTTTGATGTTTTCTTTCTTTTATTCCTGCTATGACTCTGAGTCACTGGAATCCAGTATAATCCAAGAAGATCCTTCTCAAAGCAGCAGCTACAAACTTTTCAAAGCCACCTTTCAAGACGGTTATTATGTCAGAGTCAAAAGACAGATTTTCAGTGGAGTATTCCTTTAAGATGCCCTCTGTTTCAGCATGCTAAGAGGCATTAGCAGTAACCAAAGTGGAAACAAAGCACACAATGCTCTCTCTTCACTACCCACTCTCCTTTCACTCCTGTGTTTAGAAGCAGGAAAATATCTTAGACATCGCATCTGATGCCCTTTTGTTTGAGGCTTACTTGCGGCATTGTTTCCTGCACTCGTCATGGTTACCTGCCAGCTGGTTAGTGCAGGATCGATGTATGTTTGTGTGCATGTGTGGTCAGGTCATTCTCTGGCACGGCAGGGAATGAGAACAGACATTCACAGTCCGAAACCATCACAGTCTCTTTGAAAACAAAAAGACTGTGTGGGAGTGCAAACCTTATAAGCCACCCTGTTAGGGCACTTCTTCCCGAGGCCCAGGGGAGGCGAGATAAAACGCAACAATTTGTACATATCCTGATAGCATATTCTCCCGCTGAAAAAGATAAGACATGTTGAAGAGGTTAGGACACGTTATTTCATTGCATCTATAACCTGATGTTAGTTAGGTATTAACATTTATACTCAACAAGTAGCAACTTAAAATATATATAGTTTTCGGTTTGGACTTTTCTTACCAAATCTGTGAATTTGTTGGTGTTTATTCTGACTAATAAAAGATAAAATGTTCATAGCTTTTTTTCTTGCCTATATAGAGAAAGAGTCTCTGGCACATAATCTGTTTTTATCATAAAGTCATTCATTACAACAAGCACCTCAGGGCCTTAGCAATGATTTAAGAACTACTGAGGTCTGCATTTGATTTCAGAAGATTTTAAAATATGAACTAAGAGAAGTGGAAGTGGATTTGTCATATTTGATTATATTTTCTGTAACTTTTACTTATTTTTTTACCCAATGTAACAGGTCTAAATACTGTTGAAAGCCAGTCAGGAACAAAATTCTGGTGTAGAAATAATAATAATAAAAATGATTAATAACAATCCTTTATGTTTTTGTTTCAGTTTATACACTTTCCTCTTCCTTTCACATTCCCAGAGTAAAAAGAAAAAAAATGTTAAGGCTCTGTGTTTACTGCAAACTAAAGTGCTCCTTTTCTTCATGCAGCAGAATTTGTAAGAGACGTAAACTGGTGAAATCATACTTAATTTAAATTAAACCGATATGCTCCTTTTTTAAGATACCTGTGAATACAAATACAAACTGAAAACGATGAGCCTTAAATACACTCTACGCTGCAGCCTGACATAAAAACGAGTTAAAGCAGTTAAATATGCTGAATGTAACTGAAGGCACTCTGAGAGCAGCTAATTTATATTCAAAGGAATAAATAATAATTCCTCCCCCGTAATGTCTGTCAGGAGATGGCAATTTCATATTTCACATCTCACACCTCTCCTGGAGTCCTGACTCACTGACAAGGCTCCTGTGAAGCCTTCTTTAAAACTTAATGAGCCTTACATAATCTGAGACAGATTACGCCTCACACTGTCTCACTCAGAATTTGTATTGTGCTTTAGTGAAGTTAAACAGTGTTGTTGTAAGGGGCAGGGAGGCCGCTGACATAAACCTGTATTCCCCCGTTGGATGGGTAGAAATAGTTTCTCTTCACACCACAGTGACAAACTGAGGAGCTTTGGAGCCCGCCGGCTTAGAGCAGCAAAGAGGGCTGAGTGGACGCCAAGCGGAACGCTGGATTTACATGCATCAGTCCGGCCGACAGGGGGCTCGTCGCCAGCCTCAGTCAACTCTGGGCTCAGGCTTAATGTCATTCACCCGCCGCTGCTTAGATGGGATTTTTCCAGTTCCACGTCACAGAATCATCCTGCTGGAACTCAGAAGCCGTTCGTAGAGTTTCCTGTTTCCTACCCTACCTCTCTTACAACAACAACCCCCATCCTCTTTAACACTGGCTATCACTGGGGACTGCACTGCAGCTGTACAGCGGAAGCACTCACCAGGCAGCGGGGTCATACTCTGCCCACACGCGGATGAATTCATCGAGGTGATGTGGCCCCAGGATGGAGGCATCCCTGGTCAGATACTCAAAGTTGTCCATGATGACTGCGACAAATAGGTTCAACATCTAGTGAATGAAAACAGTATAAGTATAAGAAGTATTTCGACTTAAAGGACCATCTTGATGTGATTTTACATGTTTTTAGCCCCAAAACTGCAAACTGTATGTTCTGTTACTCTCTTCATGTTCATTTCCTACACTGAGCCCGCTTACAACACTTTGCCATTGAAATCAACAATTAGGGCGCCTTTTTTTTCTTTCATTTAAAGCCATTTATCTCTGTTTTGATTATTAAAAAATGCGTGAAAAGTGTATTAAAAAATCCATATTACAAACTTGTAGGTGAAAACCTAGAAATACCTTGACTGTTTACAGTTACTTGAAGGGATTTTGTCGTATAACCAGCAGCCCATTTGCATTTCCTTCCCATTTTCCTCTTCGCTCTCTGTAACTGTCTGTATTTTCTGAGCTGTGCTCGCTGCAAGAAGACGCTGTTTGCTATAGATTTCAAACAGTCTTCTCACAGCAGGGAATGTGACAACTTTTGGGTTCATGCGGGCATAAAATCTGGGTGAAACTAAGTTTAAACCAATCTGCACTTTTTAAGAAATCTGGGTATTTTATAATCCCAAAAATGATGAGCATTAGTTACAATGATCTAGGTTTGATGAAGTTCACCAAAGTTCCAACTAGTAGTTTATTGCCTAGCACATGCAAAACCACATAACATCAGTATAATTTCTGTAGAAACACACTATGGGTCCAGATCCTCCGTTTTCCTTCATACTGACCAGGAAGGAGCAGAGGAAGATGAAGGAGACAAAGTAGAAGTAGGCGAAGTCACTTCCACACTCCTTCCCTACAGTTCCTGAGAGCTTATCACACGGCCGGTTACTGAGACACGCTAACATGATCTCATGCCACGCCTCACCTGTCGCACTCCTGAAACGCACACAAATCACAGTGATTTACACACACGTACACAAAGTGAATGGAAACACTGCTCATCAGTGGCAGGAGCAGTGCTGTCAGGAGGCATTTTTAAAATACGGTAGCAGGATTACCTGAAGAGGAGGGTCAGGGCCTGGAAAAAGGTCTGGAAGTTGTTGTGGTGATTTATTGCCGTCTCCTCAATCAGCTCGATGTTCCCAAACACCTGAGGCAGCAGGAGAGCAGCTGGTGTTTATTGAATGCAAAACCCAACATTTAAAGCTGTAGCCCCAAGCTCCTGAAACAGATCTGATTTAAGGTTCGGGCCAAGTATGTTATGCTTACCAGTTTTTAAACTTTGTTATGCCTATGGTAGCCACTGTACAAACTGCTTTTGGCAGCACTGTACTTAAATTACAATAAAATATATATCTGTTATCTGTAATTAGTTTTATTATGTACTGTGTATTTTGTGTTATTTTTTGTGTATTACTGTCATTCTGTTTATGTATATGATTCGTCAACATGGCAATGCATCTTCATTGGTTTGAAATTGAATGGAGAGAGACTGAGAGTGAATAACTTCCACAACTTGTGATGTCCCACTGTGAATGCTGTAATACTACCCAGGGGTCACTTTTAAAATATTTATGTGGCCCTCAGCATGTCCACCCTGCTGGTTTATACTGGCTGCTGGGCCCAGGAGACCATGTCAAATATGTATGTAGCATCCTGAACTGTTGTTGTACAGGAAGTAGGTAACTTTTATATCAGCTACCTCTAAAAAAATCCCCTTCAAAATCAAATATGTGTACAGTATTATGCAATCCAAGGCTGTGGCCATGCAATACATACATGGTTTGTGAAATGTATTATCATAAAAACTGAGCTGAGATTGTGTCAGAGATGTGTCAGTTCAGCTCTATGGGGGAGATGTTTATGGTATTGCACTGCAGTGCAGAAGATCTCACAATAAATGCAAAATCCCAAAAGATTTGAACAGTATCTTTATTGCAGGGCTGCTGTGTTGATATTTTACAGATGTAATGTGTATCTGTCCCTAGAGGAGAAAGGGTCTTGGTTTATGTACACTGCTGATGTTTGAGCCCGTCTGTACACTGCCAGCCTGATGAAAGGCAGGTGCAATATGTTGCTGTAAGAGGGACATGTGATCACTGTGAGGACAATCTCTGAGTGACAGTGTCCCAAGCATTATATCACAATGAGGAGTAAACAAACAAACAAGAAGAGCACCTCTAAAGCTCTGGCTACCTGGCACAGCTAGTGGGCAAGGAATAGTCCCCGTAAAACCACAATTAATATTAAACTTTATTGAATGGATTGAACAAACACTATATAACATGTCAATTAGTGAGCTTTAGAGGTTCTGGTAGGCAGATTGCTTTTGGATAGAGCCAGGCTAGCTGTTTACCACTTCTCCCAGTCTTTATGCTAAGCTAAGCTAATCATCTCCTGGTTGAAACTTTACATTTAACAGACTGATATGAGAGTGGTATCAATTTTCTAACAATCGGCAAGAAAGTAAATAAGCAATTCTTCCAAAATGTCAAACTATTCCTGGGGGTTGGTATCAAAGTTTATACCATGGCCACCGGAAAGCTGTTTCTCACTGGTTAACCACAATTAAATCACCTTTTACAAATCAGTACTAAGCCTACATTCAGTTCATTAACAGATCTTAACTGGTAATTTAACCACACATAAACACTTTACCCAAGATGTTTTGTAGCATTCTACATTAAGATTGTATTGTAATATTATAATTATTGTGCATGTCTGGTTCTCATTCTGGCTCATTTGACCAATGCCCAGGTCACTAAACTCAATGTTCTATTTAAAATAATGTAAGTTGTCTCACACTAACACGTGTAACAAAACTAACAGAAGGATCAGGATGATGTCAACCACACAGGACCAAGAGGAGGTTTAATTAGCCAAAATAGGTCAAGACACTTGTAGAGGGGAACCATGGGTGTGTAAGGATTTGGGTTAATGAGGAATTCTCACTTTCTAGGAGGCATTTATCACTGAATTATTACACTGTGACTTGCTTAAGTCCAGCTGGTCGTGTCACAACTCACCTGCATTCCAATGATGGCATAAATGAAGAACAGCATGGCAATGAGCAGACAGACATACGGCAGAGCCTGAAAACAAACATAAATACAGGTTAAAGTCACTCAAAGCGCAGACAGATACATGATACAGCAAATTCCCACACATATACTATAAGATCTCTCCCTCTTTCTCTGCATACACACACTCACAAATCTGATTCTCCATAGAGACCTAGCACCCGTGTAAGATTTTACAGTCTTATTTAAGAACTGGACCAGTCAACCCGACCTGCGGGGTCGATTCTTTTAACCAGCTATTTATATCGCTGCGAAGAGGAGGCGAACATTTGTTGTAATTAAATAGCCACCTTTTAACACTCTGCAGATACTGTCCATTTTCATTGGGCTTAAAAGCTCTCACCACTGACATTAAACCTGCTATAAATTCCCTCGGCTGCAGCCTGGCGCTCCGCATTTAACTCAACTTGTCCTAAGGGATTTAGAAAGCAAACCGGCACTGTGTGAAAATCCGAACTGCTGTCTGCTGAGAGCTATTTAGTTCGATTTTACCAGAAGTCTGCAGCACGCCTCTGCCCACTTTGGAGCCCTATATTCCATATTCTGTCTGTATTTTATGTGATATCCTTTTTATCAATCAAATTGAAAAAGATCTCTATTGAATAAATCACTTTCATGACTGAATGTCTTTCGTCCCTTCATGTAAATTACCTTTTTGCTTTGAAACGTTCTACATAAATTAAGTGTAGCTGTGTCCAGAGGCACATACTGTTTAGTCTGTGTGTTTACTCACCTTGAAGGACTGAACAAAAGTCCACAGCAGGATGCGGATGGTGTAGCCCTGCCGCAGCAGCTTGATGAGACGAGCCGCCCTGAACAGCCTCAGGAAACTCAGGTTGATCATCTTGTCCTGGGAGAGATAACAGAGATGCATTATTACATACTCAGAATAAAAGGATTTAAAGCCACATATAGTGTAACTACTGAAAGGAAAACTGACACATTCTTCATTTGACAAATAAAAAGTAAGTGTTTACACTCTGCAACAGCTGCTACAGCCTTACTTGGTCTGGTATGACCAGTAGCTTGTGGTGGCTGATGTTAGCTATCTTAATGGGGACATTGCTGAGGAAGTGACAGAGCTGAGATAGTTCACTAACTATTTATAACTTCTATCTACTTGTGTTACTGTTAATTGCACAGTGGCCACTGTTTAAATGAATCCTATATCATTTTCTGCATAAAAAAGTTACAGGCAAGTCAAAACTTGACCAAACTATAACATACTGTAATTTTCCATCTGATTCTCCTTGGTTCCCTAAATCCAAGCAGCACAGACAAAGTGATGGATCATTAGTATTAAAATTTGTGTTTTTGATCCCTTTCCTTTGAAATGTGTATTTAAAGTTCTTACACTGGTTCTGCAAGAAAAAATTACGAGATTAGTAACGAGACTGTTACTGTCTCAGATTTTTGCAGTGTACATTTTTAACGTCAGATCTTATGCAACTTAAATTGCTGTAGATGATTGTGTTGCTGTTAAAGCACACATGTCTAACAGCTTAATAGGTCCTTTTCTTTTTTTTCATGTCACATTGAGGATTCAGTAGGTAGACACTTTAAACTAAGGCTGTGGGAGAAAACAACACACACTGACAGGGGAATTGACAAAATCAGTGGCCAACAAGAAAAGCCACTTACCGTCTAGAGGTGTCAGATGTGACAGAAGGGGCAGAGTGAGGGCACAGGCGCCAGGAGAGACACAGCAGAAGATGGAAACAGCGAAAGAGAAGAAAAGGGGAGCGAGAAGAGGAGAGACAGAAAAGAAGACTAATGATCACATGAAAACAAAGTCACACGAAGAGAGAGACCAACACAGAGAAAGCAACAGTACTCCGTCTCAGTCCTCTATCTCCACAATCAAATGCTTTTGTCCATTTTTTATCTGTTATAATTCAACATAAATGACATGCTCCAAGCAGCAGTATCGCTCTTCCTGTTGTCCTGTGGTGACCTTTATTTTATGTATTGATTTTCATGATTTAATTTTTTCTGCTTGCAGTTTTCTTGGCTGAGCGTTTGATTGGAGGACTGAGACTGTGAGAGCGTAGCGAAGCATGAATACATTCATGATTTTGAACCTGAAGTGGTTTGTTCAGACTGGTAATCTGAAAAAGGCCCATCTTTAATGAACAATTACATGTAAATTTGTGCTGAAACAATTAGTCAAATGCAACATACACATACATACAATCGTGAGGATTTGCTGCTTTATTTTATTGTTAGATTGTTGTAAATTAAATATTAGTGGATTTTAAGCTGTTAAAAGCTTTGTCAACTTGTGATGGGCATTATTTACTATTGTCTGACTTTATAGACTTAACAATTCATCAATCAAAAACACTGGAGAGAGACAAAAAGATAATGTAAATAATCATTACATAATGTCAATTATATTCCCTGCATGAGTAAACTATTGCATATGAACTACTTATCAACTTCTACTTTCCGTTTATCACAGACTACTACATCTACTTCCTGTATCGCGGCATGCCGCCCTTCCACGGTGCAGCTGGTGCAGCTGCTGTCAGCATGCACTGAATCCTGAAACTAATGTAGATGCTGGTGTGGCGGCACTAAGAGCAGCAACTCTTACCTTTATCTCTGTGACCAAGATGTCTGTGATGCTTCCAAGCACAGTCACAAAGTCAAACACATTCCAGGCAGCTTTCAGGTAGTTCTAAAAGATAAAGACAACATCAATGTTCAGCTTCTTTAATACAATTCTGGATGTATTTTTAATTATTAAACATAATGGGATACATGTTTTAGATTATTTTCTCGATGACTCGATTAATGTTGGGTCAATAAAATGTCAGTCAACAGTGAACAATGCTCATCAATATTTCCTCTAATGTGACATTTTCAGTTTACAGTGAAAACATTTTTGTCTAAAAAAAATACCTCAGGAATTAATCAATTATCAATATTAATTAAATTTACTAATCTTTTTTTTCTCTTTTATTGCTCTTTAATTGATAGTGACAGCTGAAGAATGTCAGGAAGGGGGGCAGAGAGAGAATGACACGCAGCAAAAGGCCACAGGTCAGATTTGAACCCATGGCTGCTACAGCAAGGTACATGGGGCACTAGTTCTACCAGGTGAGCTATCTGGGCACCCTGACTAACCAATCTATTGACTAATTGTTGCAGCTCTTCAACCCCACCACTTCTGAAACCTTCCTTCCCTTTCATATTTTAATTAACATTTACAAAAATGTTACAAATACTTCATAACCCTTTATTTTCAATTAACCTATTTCAGCCTTTTCATACATATTATATAGATTTAGAGATAGAGAGTCAATAAAATGCATTTTCGATTAACTCTCTTAACCCTAACCCTAATAATAATAACATAACATATGCAGGTTTAACATGATGTATTTCTGCAAATTCTAATACAGTTACTATCCGCGTAGCCTACTGTATTTGGTTAGATTTACAGATACAGCATGTGGATATACAAATGTTACAAGGGTGTACTACTCCCATAGATAGAAAAATCCCACAAATACACCTATGTACCTAACCGCACAAAAGTCTATACAGCCCTGTGGGAACATAAATCTATATGTGCATATAAAACACACACAAATGCTGACACACTCTCATACATAAACTGCTGAGCTACTGCCTGCAGCCTGGATCCCCCTCAGACTGGTCAATCATCCAGCTCCTGAGGCCAGAGGCCTCTGCCAGGCCCTCCAGCTGCAGTCTGAAGAGATGCAGCAGCCGAGTGTTTATATCAGCAGATGTGAGCCCATCCGTCTGGGCTTAACAGCTGAACAGGTGGAGGCAAGTGGTGTGTGAGAAAAGCCATTTAATAAATGGGCCTCGTAAATGGAACGGAGCCAGAGATGAAATGCCTCGCTGCAAGCTAGACGGCCCCATGTTGGGGGAGATTTATTCTTTTTGAGCACTCGTCCATTCATCCCTTCTTTTTGTTCCTAGTTCATCCTCCTCATTCCTGAATTTGAGACTTTACACCTTTTACTTTTACTGCTTTGTGACATGTCATACATCCTCCGCTAAATCTTTTATATACTTTTGCACAAACAAAATCGTTCATCAGAATTGTTCAAACATCCTTCTGTGTTTGTGTGTCAGTTTCTTCATTAGAAATACCCCGATAGTCTCTAAATGCTTACGCTACAGACAAATCTCTTAGAAAATTGTTGTTTTAACATTCACAAGGACAGAACTTAATTAACTGAGTCCTACGAGTACAGAAGTCACCCTTCTGTGATCTTTCTAGCAATTTGCATATCCAAAGAGAGCTTTTCCCTCATGCGTGTAAACAGAAACACAATACAACAAAGAATAATTGTCTGGTGTTTGCAGAGTACAGCGCAGCATATGGTCTTGACAGCTCACCAGTGGACCAAAGGCAATAATCTTGAGGATGCACTCCAGTGTGAAGAGGGCTGTGAAGACGATGTTTAAGTATTTCAGCATGGCCTCGTACAGGTCTGGAGCTCCATAGAACTGGGGACAGAATAAATTTGGTAAGAGATTTGAGAGAAAGAGAAGCACAGTAAATGTGTAAATCCTTTACCCCATTAGTCCACTTTCTGTCTTGGGCAGATTAGATAGCTTTATGTTACTGAAAACTACAAGTGTAAATGCAACCAAGAAGGCCTGCAATTATATCTGATTGCTCAGCGAGTTCTAGCAATATATTTAAAATGTATAGACGCATTTGCAATCCCACCTGCATACACATATTTTAATCATCTCAAGTATCAGTTGGTGCTGTGTCTCTCCGCTGCGATAATGGCAGGTGATTGAACTGAAATGGTCTGTGTCTCTATGTGATTGTGTTAGTTGCTGTCATTGTAAGTTAGCTTTAATTTATTTATTCATAATTAAAAAGTTCATAGTGGTAGTGTGTTACAGCCCAATCACATTTGCAGTGTGGGAAACAAATGAGGGTACTGGATGTCTTATCTGGCTACTGGAAACACTGAACGTGGCTGCTAAAGTGTGTAAGTTGTATTTGAACCTGATATGAACCATGTAAAATCAGAATTAAGGCCCCTACAAGGAACTTTTATTTTGTGTTGATTCTTGCGCCCCCTGTGAACAAAAACCGTTTCCACCGCCTTGTTTCATTGATTTCAAGGGGAATCCGACTGTATTCTACCCAGTGGCAGGCATTATGAATAACTATATATAAATAGCCACCATCTTCTCACAGATGGTCTTGTTTGTTTACGTAGCTCACATAGAATAGAGGCATCAGTATTAAATTGAGACTGTTTCATAACCAATTAAAAACATTAAAGCATATCTAGCATATATAGTATATCTGAACAGCATTTCAAACTGTTTCTTCAAATACGTTTTCAGACTTTATGGTCAGAGCCTGACAGAGAGAGGTACATTAGAAATACTGTCTGGTTATGTAAATTCAACCACGGCCAGCAGGCGAACACAGCTCCTCTCTGGCACCAGCATGCATTACCCAAACAGGCTGTTTCATTCCCTCAGAGATTTTCTCTTCTGAGTAGATGAGTAAAGGAACTGCCAAGACACGAGCACTTCGCTCTGATAGCAGCGAGCACAGTTTGGCAGAAGTGTCATGGGGGTGTGCTGGTGGTGGTGTCTGATTTTTAATTGTTGACCATGTCTCAAGGCCAGACCAGTGTTGTTGCTGTAATTGTATCTCTGCCTTAAGAACTACAGATGAAACGGTGTACATTTATGAAATCAGCTTCTACAATCCTTTCAACAGTGTGCTGGATCATACTGGGAACTGAATAAGTTTCACTGAGCCAATACACAATTTTTTTTGGCTGAGAGGCATCTGAGAGGGATTGGCTCTTTGCCTCGTTAGCAGGAGGAATCACTGACCTTCATCATCAGCACGACAGTGTTGAGGGCGATTAAAGTCATGATGGCGTACTCGAATGGAGGCGACACCACAAATTTCCACATCTTGTACTGAAAGGACTGCTTGTTCTCTGGCATGTATCTTGTCAGTGGCTTGGCGTTGATGGCAAAGTCAATACAAGCCCTCTATTTGATGAAAAGACAAAACAAAAACAGATAGTGTTCGAAACCTCTCTGATAAAGGAACTTCACACACCTTTCATCATAGAAGAGGAAAGAGCTGGAAAATCACATTTAAAAACATGAAAGACCGCCGGCACGCCACAAGAGGATCTTCTAAGCCTTTAGTAATATTAAAAGATGAGACTACAAATTGAAGCTCTCTGATTGCTAGCCAATACTGACAGACAAAAAACAGCATGATTTTAACAAAATCCGTGTGAAGTGGAGATGAAGAGAGCAGAGAAGATAAATCTCACTGCTTTCTTTTTTATTACTTTGTTCTGTTTGAGGAAATTGTAAGTCACATTAGAGCTAATTTGCCTGGAATGATGTTTAGAAGTGTATCCGCATGTTCTCTGATTTCTAATGAAGAAAACATTTGTGATGCAAGAGATATTTTGAGAAACTAGAGCTTCTGGAGAAAATCAGCTTGTGTTGTTGTTGCATGTAGGGGAAGGGGTCATTGTTTTCCAGGAGAAACGCCAAGAAAGTTGCTTCACTTTCCACATCTCACCTCATTCTTCTCCAGGCTGCACTCTGACATGGCCTTGTCTCCCTGCTCCTGGAAGGTGATGATGATCAAAGCCACGAATATGTTGACAAAGAAGAAGGGGAACACCACAAAGTAGACCACATAAAAGATGGATGTCTCCATGCGGAAACCTGGGTTGGGGCCCTGGTCCTCATACGTGGCATCCACAGAGTGCTTCAGGACCCTGATAAAGAAGGAAAAGAAATTCAATCAACCACGTAGACATCAGTGTGAAGTGCTGAGTCATACCTCGTAAAATAGATACAGAGAGATAAAATAGAGATTCTGTGAATTCCTTTGCCTACTTTAACAAATTTCCATAAATCTAACAAATCTCTTGATTATTTTTGTGAATAATTGATTCATTGTCTGGTCTATAAAACATTAGACAACACGTAAAAATGCAGATCACAATATCTTAGACCAGAATCTTTAAATAGCTTGTTTTGTCCAACCAGCAATCAAAAACCCCCAAATATTCAATTTATTATAATATAACAGCTATTTGTCACAAGTGATTATCAAAATAATAATTTCCTGTTGGTAATCTAATGATTAACTGATACAGAGTAAACCAAGCTCTTCCCATTAGAGCAGAAATCTCTCTCTCTCTGAGATGAATTATACCTGAAGAGAAGCACCATATGAGCTCACCTCTACCTTTATGTGGAATCAAGCAAACTTGATGAAATAACAATGAAATCAATCCGTCTTCAAATATCCATTTCCAAAAATAGCCAATCAAACCACCTTTAGAGGTTTCTGAAAAATCCTCACTGAGGATTTCTGAGCGAATGAATGAGTCACAGGCAGCAGCCCTGCACGAGTATACAGGGCTGAGCTTGTGGGCCCAGTCTATTCTTACAGACTCAGATTATTACAGGTGTCCCCAGTAAGTTAATAAGGTCTCACAACTCTCCTGCTGTGAAATCAGAAAAAGTTCTTGATGGCTCTCTGGCAGACTTGTTGAGCACCATCTGTACACTTTCCATAATTGGTGTACAATTTGTTGCTATATGTGAAGCACTTTGTAACTTTTGAAAAGGGCTCTACAAATAAAGATGATGATGATAACGAGAAACCTTCTGACAGCATCAGTCGTTTCAGCAAGTACCCCAAAACAACATGTTTCATTTCAAGTGAGAAAGCCATCTAGCAGCCGCAGTAATTGTGCAAAGGAGGAAGTAGTGAGACTTTTTTATAGAGTGGCAGTCTGAAGACAGCAGAGGTCACAAAAACATCTGACTTTTAAACAGGAAACTGCTGTTCGATATCACCTTTCTATTTCCACATATTTTTTATTTCTTGTCAAAACCTGGCGCCAACATTACCCACAATACAACCTGAGTGCCGACTGGGTGTGTTGTGCTAATTGCAGCTAATGTAGCCTTGAGGTGCTTCCAGGTAATGAAACCAAAATTTTGTAGACATATTGTCAATGCACAGTATTTTTTTAACCTTCACACGACCAACTGTGCAATCACACAGCCGTCATGAGTTGCCGGATGATGCTTGCAAGCCATCTCTACCATCCATCCCATATGATGTGAATGCGGTATTAAGGTGGACACGAGGTGAGATTAGAGGGAATCTATAATCCTAAATTCTCAGTGGATGTGTGTTAGGAGTAGTTAATTATTTTCTTCTTTCTCTAAGTTGAGTATCTCAGGATTTTAAGTGTAAGTTTTAGATAGTTGACTAAATAACATGTAGTATTCAATTAGAGTTGTAACTTTTGTCACTAAGGGTGTTCAGAAACAACAGAGGATCATAGATATCCCAAATCATAAAGAAAGAAATACTGTATATTTAAATGTGCAGCTCTTGTGCGAGTTGTGTCTTGCAGTCATGGTGTCATTGTGCTGTCACTACTTGTTTAGGAGTGGGTGATTTTAGATGATCATGACAAGCTCAGTCAGTTTAACAATTTACTGTTCATCTTCAGGTAAGTGCAATGAATGAGATAAGCCAACAGCCATCAACAGTCCTTGACACAGATGATGACGATGATGATGATGATAAATGTTACTTTAGCTCAGACACAGAATGGCAGACTGAAGCCATCTATGCCATGAGCCTTGATTGCATCTTTAGAGAAGGCGCAGCAATTAAGCCTGGGAGAAATCAGTTGGGGGGTTTAATCTGCGCTGCACTGTCGGCCTCCAGGTGTGCTGAGTGCATTTCGGGTCAAATCACTGAAGGGAATTCTAACATGAAAAATAATTAATAATTCAACAATGCTTCAAATACTCAAGCTTTTCTTTTTGAACCAATAAAATCCCTGTATCATTCTGATTCACCTGTTTCATATTCAGCTTTTAACCACTGTTATACAGCTGACTTAAAGTGGCATTTTATGTATGAACGGTACTACACAAATGAAGTGATACAGAGCTTTTTCTGACTTACATAGGCCATCCCTCTCCGGTGGAGACAGTGAAGAGTGTTAGGAAGGCCCAGAGGACGTTATCGTAGTGGAACTCGTACTTCTTCCACTCTCTGGGCTGAGCTGTCACGTCATCCCTGTCGTAGACCAGAAACTGACCCCTGAGAGAGAGAACGGGAGGAGAGGCAGAATCAGGTTTAAAGAGATGTAATCGAAAGAGGAGAAACCAGATCTATATAGATATTTAGATAGAAGAGGACAGAGAATTTCAGTATGAAATCATATGTTACCAAATGGCAGCTGCCATGGAAAAATTAAAAGGTATGAAAGTAGTCAATAAAAAGTCTCAATAAAAAAAAAGGCCGTTATCTCATGGACAATTGCAGATATTTTGTAAATATATTTTCATTAAGAAGACATTCAGGTGTGAAGAAGGGCAAGTTTGGACCATGTACCTGCAGTCTTTCTCCAAACCCTTGGACTCGTCGGTGCAGTAGAAGAATTTGCCCTTAAAGAGCTGCACAGCAATAACAGCGAAGATGAACATGAAGAGCATGTAGACGATGAGGATGTTAAGAACGTTCTTCAGGGAGTTCACAACACAGTCGAACACCGCCTGGAAAATATTTACACACGCACACAAACACACAGACAAATAAATGTGAGTATAGTATAGTATAGTGTGTAATATTTAGGTAGGTCTATTAGCAGAAATGGAATATAACATTCATAGGTATGATTTCATTAGTGAATAATCACTTGAAAATAAGAATCATTGTGTTTTTGTTTCATACAATGAGCAGTTGTTATCTACAGACGCTGTGGGTCGCCTTCCATCGAGTCCACCATGTTGAACCACCATGTTTCTAGAGTAGACCAGGCCGGACAAACCAAAAACCTCCTCTAGATGGGGCTGTTCTTGTTTTTTGCATGAAAGTTTCTCTTGCTTGCTTGGAAGGGGAAGATGATTACTGCAATCTGCAACTACACTTCTAAGTGTGGGATTTGGGGGGGATAATTGAATGAGTGTGTCTGAATTCAACCTTCCTTATGACAATAATCTTTCCCCATACTTAACTGAAGTAGTTTTAGTTGCATTAACTTCCCTAAATCCTTTACCACAGAGGTGGCAGACACACAAACACAAATATACCCTTGGAAGGTACTGACAAACACAGTTGTCAATATGGTCAGTGGATCAGAATACCCTCATATGGGTTATTTTATACAGCAAAGACAAATTACATATTTTGACGTCTCTTTGACGTTTAAGGACCTGTTGGCAAAAATATGTCCACAGTCTTTAATTTCTGTTGAAACAATGGTTCTAACTAACCTAGATGTTTAAAAACTCACCTTTTACCCAAATTCAGCCCTGTTTTAACCTCGTAGTCTTATGACCTGCAAACTACCAAATCAATGCTTACTGAGTACACACCTTTGCATTAAGTCTGTCTTTGTCTCCCTGCCTATCACTCTCAGCTATTTTCTTCTGTCAGCTTGTGCTGTGATCGCTCTATGAGATGAAGTGTTTTGTCTATCTATCCTGACATGTACGCAATCTAACCAATGAATTTGCTGCTGCATGAATGATCGCCATCAAGGCTTTTGTCTTCAGAGTGAGGAAGGAGCATATTTCTCTCCTCCTCTACCAGCCTGTCCGTCAAACCACTCCGTCCAAGTATCTAAGACGAGTTGTGGATGAGCGTCTGTCTGCCAGCTCTGATCTGTCTCAATCATCTCACTTCTATTACTCCAATCACATCTTTCATCTTTTGTCAGATCCATTACTTTTGGATGATCAGCTGCCTTCACGCACCAGAGGGAAGCTGTCATTTCTGCATCAGAGGAAACAGTTGAGTCTTGCCTTGGTATGGTTCACAATCCATTAATACAGATTCTTCACTCTACACGCTTTACAGATTCTTCATTGTAAAGCCAATTTCAAAATGTCCAACTTTGGCAACCCCCAGTGGTTGCATCAAAAAGGATTTTTAATGCGAGTGTCTATTTTCTCTATTAGCAACCATGTTTTAAATTATTGTGGTTGCACATTATACCATCTTTAGTTCTGCTGATATGACTGGCTCACCATTAATACATTCAGATATGGAAGGTTTATAAGAGTCTGTATATGCACTGAATGGGAACATGTGGACCACCTACTGTATGGTGAAGTTTATTTGCCTTTTTGTTTTTCAGATGTCTCTTTTAAAAAAAAGAATCTAAAATTAGCCTTTAATCGATAGCTGAAGAGTGACAGGAAGGGGGGCAGCTACCAGGTGAGCTATCAGGACACCTCTTCATGTGTCTCTTTTGTGCACAGTTCAAGTAGGCAACTGTACAATATAAGCACTCTAGGCTTAAATTCATTTGTAAGTACTGTAATTAATTTTGAACCTGTGCATTAACTGAGTATATTTTATAGATAGAATAGAAGGAAGACAAAATAAATTATATATAACAACACCTGACAGAAATGGACTTCACCTCTTAACTTCACTTAATCGCAAACACTTTTTATTAGATGCCAATTTGTCAGCAATAAAAGAGGGTTGACGGTTGGCACAATGTGATGTGACAGCTAACTGAGATCCAAATAGGCCAAATGATTGCAAAACTGCAGGTGCAGTTATCATTCAAGTCAAAATTGCAGGTTAAAAAAAATCCAAAATGACTTAATATATCAAGAACAGTTACACAAATTGCATCTGCCAAACAAAAGTAAACTGCACTATCAAAGAGGAACACTGGTCACAAACTGAATGTGGTTCACTGCTGAATGGCACAAAGCCACCAGTGTTTCACATAGTGATTACGAAGATTACACCACTATCTTTTCGCTCTGCAAAGTTGCTCCTAAACAGAGCTGTACTCAGCTTGGACTAAGTTAAAATGAATTCCAATAGTGACACAGTTTTAAAAAACTATAGGCTATCTACGGAGACCAGAGGCCACGGTTTGTCGGGACTGTCCCAGTGTCAAGTGGGTGTCCCAAGTCCCAACAAATTATCTGTAAAACACTAAAATGTCCTGTTTTGTCACCACGACTAAAATACTAATTATAATTTTATACTTGTTTTCAGCGCTTACATTGATGTTTATAATGTTCTGCCCCACTCATTATTACCTAACCCAATATAAAAACAGAAACAATGCACCATGCGTCTAAATTCAACACTGATTTTTCTGTATGTGTCAATCAAGTGTGGTAGTCAAGGCTGTTGCTAGCCTATGAGTCATAGGCAAGCGTCACAGGCTCTTTCTGACAGAACCTGTCAGTGTGCTAACGGTTAGTTGTCATGCCGAAGACAAAGTCAGTCTTTTCTAAGAAGCTCCAGAGGGCTTACTCCTTTGTAAAGTACCCAGCAACGGAAATGCTGCATTCACCATGTTGAAAGTGTGCTCGGTACGTTCTTTAAGCACTGAAATTGTCCCCCATCCTGATAAAAATGTTGCGTTGTGGTGCACGCATAAGTGCATACATATGTGCAGGCGTGAACAAGCGGTACACTTAAGGGTCCCGGTTAAGGGTTTGAAAATATGTAAATGTTAAAGGAAACTATTTTGCAGTATACTGCAGTATAGTAGCATGGATAGCTGTTTGGCATCAGTGATCACATTAGCAAATGGCTAGCTGGTACAAAGATAAACAGCGAACTACGGTACAGATATTCTTATATTATTATATTTCCAAACCTACATGAGTGTTTGATGCTTAAAACACAGTTGGACAATGGTTTTATCAAGCAGCCGTGTCTGTGGCATTGATGTTTGAGGAGTGTGTGTTCTGGGAAAAACTGCCCATCAATAAGCATCCACGCACACAACTACTTCAGTAAAGGAAGCAATTTTCTGTCACTTTCTTCCAATTTGTCCAACCACATCCCAGCATGCTCCAAAGGTCAAACAGCTCCAATCTTTCATCTAGAGCTAGAGATAAGAGATTTATATATGATCTAAAACATGGCTGTTTTAAATCAGATATATCAATTCCTCCATGATATACTGTAAATGCATTTGACCCATGATAGTGTGTGTAACTAACACGGCTGTGTCCCCAGCTGCTCTGCAGCATTTTTTTTTTTTATCATAATGGACTGGTTGGGTGACAGATTAGATTACCGTACCTTCAGTTTGGGCAGTCGTTTAATGGTCTTGAGTGGCCGCAGGACTCGGAGGACCCTCAGGGACTTGATGGTGTTGATGTCCTTGCCTTTCGTCCCTCTGTGCAGTTTGAGAGTACAGTTAGTCTGGGTGATGTAGTGTAACCAAGAATCATAATCAACCCTTTCATCCCATGCTCCCCTAACAAGAGCCGGTTGGAGTACATCAGGTATACTGCGTACACAGAGAAATACCTGTTCATATTCCGTTAGTAGAGTACATGCATGTGAGTTCATAATGTTATTCTACAGAAACATGCAACAATAGATGAAAATTAATTTGTACAGAGTAAGCACAGTACATTTATTCAAGTCCTGCACAATTGTACACATTTCAGATGTTGCTGCTTACACATTACATTCTATTCTTTCTTTCTCTCTTTTTCTTTCTATCATCCATCTTTCTTTCTCTTCAGTACTTTTGTAATTCTGTCTATTTCCTATAGATATATCCTATCTATTCCATCCATTTGTTTTCTTTCTATCCTTCTGTCTCCTTCTCCCTTCTTTTTGTCTTTCCTTAGTTCAGCCTTTTATTTATTTATCGTCTTCCATCTTTAACTTCCACCATTTTTTATTTCATGCCTTATTTCCATGGCATGTCCCTTTTCTTTCTTTTTTTCTAGCCTTTTTATTACTTACATCTTTCTTTTCCTCCCTTTTCCTTTCTTTCCTTCCATTCTTCTCTTTTTCCCCCATTGCTTCCTGAATCCTCCTTTTGTCTTTTGATCCCTTTTCCTTTCCTTCCTTCCATTATTGGTTCTCTCTGTCTTTTTCTTCAACTCATTTCAATATCTAGATACATTAAGATACAAGGTATTCACACAATAGTAAAACTAAACCATACGATAAATTTGAGAGGTGAGATGCTTGTTTTTTTACATTTTTTCTTGCAGTCTATTTTTTTTCAAAGTTACGTATTTGAGCAGTAATTCCACCACTCGCCTAGCTAATGTGTAACCTCAACGTATAGCTACAAGGCTCTAAATATGCAGCCACACCAAACTAACATACTAACACATTTCAGTAGAATAACATACAAAGATCTGATTCTGTTTAGAGTAAATGCACAAAGAATCAGCCCCTGGTAGAGGAAGCAGCTTCTTTGCAGGAACCACTGCTGTCAGTCACTGCAGACGCTGCAGGTTTTGTTAACTGGTCACAGAGTGGGAGGTGGGTGTGGGGTTTTTAAAAAACTAGCTGTTATGCTAATAACATACAGCTGAGCCATCATTCACTCAGAGGGTGACATTGGCCAAGGGCAGTGGGAGAGGGATTTTTAATTAATCAGTCACACGCACACACAATGTTGCTGTCACTCTGGATAAAAAGTGTTTCTCGTTTGTTTCTTCTTGACTTCAAAAAATCCAGAGAAGCAGAAAGCGAGAGTGTGTCTAAATCTATGTGTGTGTGTGTGTAGCAATAATTTTATGTGTGAAGGATGAGGAGAGGGTCACAAGCAGACTAGAAATAAAGGAGAGTCTAAAAGCTCTGTTAGTGGCCCCTAGAGGCCCCGCTGCTTCTTACACCAGCATGAGGTAGATTTACCGACCAACCAATGTTTTCATCCCCGGGGGACAAGAACAACTCCTGCTGTAAAAAGCTAACAATTGTAAAAGATATATATTCACTCACAGGCCATTAAGCAAAGATTATATGAATACATGCAGCCTTTTTCCAATGTGTTTGTGTGCACTCGTCACAGCTCTTTCATATAGTTTCACAGGTCTCTGCAGGGTTGTGTCTTTTTTGTAACCCTTCCAAAACCTCTGACGTAAGCTGCAGCCTAAACATTAGGGGTTGGGGGTTACAGGTTACGTTTAATACACAAACAATGCTCCTCCTTTATTTTCATATCTTCTAAATGGATCCTTAGCTGGAGGGGATGCTGACTTTTTTTCTGGATCATGCAGCTTTAGCCTCAGTCTATGCATTATATCTATATCATCTATGTGGCATTTCCAAAAACCTTTTACAGGATCACTGAGATAACATTAGCATTAGCTTACTCTAGGCAGCCACAGCTGACAAAATCCAGTCGAGAGTCCACAGTTAAATGAATATAATGTAGTCAACATATGATTCCACAAATACCAATTTTTCCACTAAATAATAGGTTACCAAATGACTCTTTTGAGAAAGAGTTTTGCAGACAATACCCTGGAAATATAACCTCTACTTAGATGTGCAGCTCTGTTTTCTATTTTCTGCTCATTTTCTAGTTGTTTCTTGAACACTCAATAACAAATGAGTCTTAGTAACTGAACACGTTGTCCATTTCCCTGCGATTGGCAACAAATTAGAAAGTCCTTTCCAGGAAATGAAGGTACATATGAGCTCCTTGCAAGGAAACAATTTAGAAACTAAGGGACCTGTAAAATAAAGCATTATGATACTATCAGTTGCTTATAAAACACCTTTTCCAATCTATTCTTCCCCACGCCTCCTTTGCTTTAAATGTCCACAAACACACAGAGACACACACTCAAACGGGCCCCGGATCAGTCTATCAGTGCTGCAGAGATTCTCATTTAAAAAAAAAAAAAAACATCTGGTTGGCCAGCGGAGGGTACTTAGGGAAACAAGGGACCCATGAAAACCAACTGTTCAAGTTGTTTACCCATTACTGGGTGAAAAAACAATTCTGAAATATATGTTTTTTTATGTGATGTAACAGTCTATAACATGTGGTGAGGACGGAGAGAAGCATGGTTCCATACATTTTAGGCTCAGGGGCCTTTTCCTTTCTCAATGGAAAACTCTACGTCTACCAAAATGGCATGCAGCTCTCATGCTCGGATGACTTGGTTACCCTGGCATGCAATCTGCAAAGTCAATGCCAGTCCTCGCTATTCAAGGACGTCAACACATTGAGACGGCAAGAACAGTCTCCCAATAGCTTTCAGAAGTGCCGTGGGCAAGGAAGATGTAATGTGTGTGTGTGTGTGTGTGTGTGTGTGTGTGTGGGTGGGTACACATCAACGCAGCGCAGATCAGCGCTCAGTGCTTAACATGCTCAGCAGCCAGGCATGTGGGGTCATCCTCAGTTATCATGACATCATGACATGTCCTTTCAGCTGCGCCCTCCTGAGAGCGAGGAGCATTTCCTGTTTAGGGATGCCAGATCTGACGTCCAATCGGAAGCACTTGCATTTGCTAATGCCTCAGCCACACAGGATGCATCAGGCTCCCTTTATTAAGTGGTTTCATGTTTTACAGAGAATTCAATTAGATGGGGAATTTGGAGTAACGTATGTGCAAATATATTCATGTCCAATGGTAACAAGTTCTTATTTCGATTTTTATGGTACTTTGAGGAGTTTTGTATTTGAATATCTGTAATAAGATGAATAAGATGATAAAAATATTATTTGCAGCACAAACACTATAATTCCACTAATTTTGTTTGTTTTTATTGAAACTGGTGCATAATCAGCATATTTCTCCATTTTCTTCCTTACTTTCTATTAGACAGCGCATCTTGTCAACTTGACAGCTGCAATAGGTCTGTGTTTACTGAAAAGCATATCAGAATTTAGTTTACTGTTTGGAACAATTATACACTGTAAGGAAAAAGTGGTTTAAAAAAAATGAAGAAACTGTAAGAAAAGGAAAATATAGCCTTACATACAGTTTGTTTTTTATTTTCCTTACATACACTGACTGATTTTCAATGATTTAGCATTTTTAGCATAGCACCTCAAGGAGAAATCAGGTGAGAAGCTATAATCCTTCATTCATGTCCCTCTAAGTCCACTGCATAAAGAAGGATAGATGTAGGTGAAGGGCAGGGAGGTGCAGGCTTGACCAATTAAACCCACTTTAGTCAAGATTAAAGGAGATTTACATGAAGGTGAAACGACAGATAAGGACTTTTTCGCTGTAATACGACTGAAACGTGTGTTTACAAGTGGAAAGCTACTCAGTGGTGATTTCATGCTTTATGCTATCCAGCAGTTATGTGTCGACCTTCTGAAAGCTATGAGGTGGAGTTCCCAATATTGTCTTTTTGTCTGGATGTCTCAATATTGGATCAAGAGGTTTTTCTAAAAGGGAGGAGAGGAAGGAGGGATCTTGGGATGGAGGGCGACAAAGCTTATTTGGTTGACAAGAGGAGCGTTCTTTGATTCAAAAATGGGGCGGTGGGGGGTGGGGTGGGGGGGTCAACGGGGGTCAATAAGCAAAAGGTAGATAGGGACAGTTCCCACCTGGCCACGCTTTGTTGCGATCTGATGAGAAAAAGCAATGATAAGCATACGCACACACAATACACAAACACCACCCACAGAAATAGAGCAAACAAGCACGTAAATAAAGACAGAGCAAAATAAGCATTTTAAGCTGATATCACACAGGCATGAAGATACAGTGACATTATTCGGCCTTTCAAACTTACGACATCAAAACACACTGAAGAGAAAACAAAGATAAGAGACAAATAGAAGGACTTAAACTAATTACTGTACCCTGTGAAAGAGCAAAGCAACACACAGTCTGATAACACGTTAGAATGAATTTGTGAATAAATACATTTTATAGCCACAGGATGATCATGACGCCATGGACAGTTTGGGAGGAGCAAAGATGAGAGGACACTGTTGATGAGAACGATCTACTGTATGACTACATTCACACTGCAGCCGAGAAAATAAAATCTGATTTTATCCTCTGCAGCCCCTCCCTGCTAGTCTCTCATACATGACCAGATCTGCTTTTGAAAGACTGTGTGGACACAAGTGGACACAAATCCACCATGAATTCAACTTTTTCCATTCTGATTTAGGTCACTTTTATACAAGATGTGGCCCTTAATCGCATACTGCGTTAGAGACCTGAAGTCCTGGCGTCACTTCTGGGCTAGCTTCTGTTTTACAAGCTTCTGTAAGTCAATGCTAATTGAGGGTTTATTTCATCTACACTGGTTTCAGACCTCTGAATCACTAGACCACATTCCTCTTTTCACTTCTACAAATATGGTGTAGAGTTCTTCATGGGTCCACTGGTTTGGAGGAACCAAGACGCGACAAGGTCTCTCAGTATCACCTGTGATCACATGATATGTCCTAATCACTGCAGGAGAAAATATTCTAGGAAATCAGTAGCCTTTGAAAAGAATGTATGACAATTACTTTTAGGCCTTTGATTGAAATATTGAATTGGTTGGAAAATTCATATAATTGATTCCTAGCCAGGTGGCATTCAGAATGGGGATGTTATCTCCCTGTGCAGTGCCAGAAAAAAAGCAACATAGAAATTGCCGACAGGTGTGCTTGAGATTGACGCAGGTACAAAGAATCAACATGACAAATGTCAACGGTTCCTAGTGATAGAAATGACATCAGCTGGGCAGCGAGACAACCAACAGTTTGGCCAAATTTTGTTAATCCTTTTGTACTGAGGGAAACATGGCAGGACCCAGCTGAAGCAGGAAGTCAGTCTCTAAACTGTGACGAACAATTTTACAGTTCTTCCTCGATTTCTACATTTCTCTGGAACCCTGGAACCCGCCTGATTGTCTGACTGCATTTTCAGATCGACAGCATCTAGTATATTATTATAACAATCCAAATATGAAAATAACATCTACATCCAAAGAAAACTGAGTGATCCTGTAAGCCTTGCAATGTGAATGTAGCCAGTTACACGCTTACATGCCACGACTATGAGTTGATGAAGGAGACGACAGGAGGGACAAAAATGCTGTACAGGAAGTGAACGTGGGAGGGAGGGATAAAAGGAAGGTGGTTGAAGCTGATACACCCAGTGAATCTCACTCTTCTACCTATATCAGGACAGGGGCACAGCATACTGGACAGGATGACGCTATTATACTCTTAAAGTATGTGTTTATAAATGAACAGTGCATTAGCAGTTAGAAAGACACTGATGAAAGCTACATCATCCTGTGTCTTCATTATATTTTAATTGTTTGTGTCTAAAAATGAAAAAGAAATGCGTTATATCTACCATTCACTCTGTTTAATAGTTTCTATTTGTGTGCTTATTATGGGCAGCAGCACTCAGATCCTTTGTGTTCATGAATATCTGGAACACCTTTCACTCTCATGAAAGCTTGAACCTTTCAAACTGTTGTGTCTGACAGTGCAGTGCTTCTCTTATTCACAGTGCTGCCACGCTGTGCATTTTGTATATTGTTCCTATTAACGCACATAAAATATATCTGATAAATGGAGAGCAGGTAATTGCACTTACGTAACCCAAATACAGCTGTAACACAAACACAGTTATATAACACAAACAGAGTAAATGCCAGTATCTTTGTGGCGGTGATGATAAGAATAGCAAATAACAAAATATGACATTTGTTGGAAACATTTAGCTGAGAGAGGAAGGCTGCTGCAGACGCGTTTATAAACTCTGCAAATGACACTGGCTGAGATGGACAGGAAGGAGAGCAGGAGACACAAACAGGAAGACGAGCACATAGATAGATACACAGGCAGAGAGAGCAGGCATTACCCCATAAGGCTCCTGAAAGCAATCCAAGCCAGAAAAACAAAAGGAGGAAGGAAAAAGTGAAAGAGAGAAGACAGAGACAGAGTAAGCAACAGATAAACGTCAATCTACAGCTGGCGAAAGAGAAGAAATCAGAGCGACAGAAAGCAGTACAAAGAAAAATACACAGGTAACAAACTGTGGATAAACCTTCAGGACAATATGTGTCGATATTTGAGACGGTGGCACACAAGAAAATTTCTGGCAGATTATGTAATTACCTTCTTTCTCCAGAGACCCAGAATGCAGGTCTGAAAGCATCAAGGGGCTCATTAACTCCCTTTATACTGTGACTGGGTAACATTTATTTCAAGTTGGCTGGAAGGTGTCGCAACATGACAGCTCGCCAAAAGTGAAGCCAAAACATCCCATTGCAGTATAGGTCATAAACCCCGCCGCCCTCCATGTTAGCAGACGGGACAGGGGCAAACTAGAAAATCAACGTACACGTCAAATACATTTTTCCCAAAGATGGTTTCTGTCATTTTAGGTAGTGCTCATTTCCTAAAATGGTTTTGAATACATTGGTTTGAATAAGTTATTTCTGGCATATATTATGATGTTCATTTTGGAAATTATGTTCAAGTTGAGAGCAAAACAGATGATAAAGCAGAGTCCGCTTTAGGGTGTGGCTACCTTGTGACTGACAGGTCATTCTCAGTGAGTCTGTCCAGCTCACCATATGAAACTCAGATCAGACTGTCACACTAGGCGGTGCTGATCAAACACAAAGCAAGATTCTGTTACTGCGTTGCCTATTTGTCACCTAAAATCGTTTCAGAAACATATTTTAATTTACTGTTCAGCTGTAATACCAGATTGTGCGTGACCAGGCGAGTCACCAGTTGTTCCTGCTACAGACGAGTCAAAACTGTACTCGGGCTCCAACAAACTGTCTAGACTGACCAGCGCAAGATGGCAGCTGCCTTATACGGGATATTTGGCTTCATTTTTGTACAGTGGGAGGAAGTGGACACACAATATCCATTTTATACAGTCTATGCTACTAGTTAACTCTCACTGATAAAATGGACCTGACCAGTGGTTGAACTGGGCCAGTACTCACCAGTAAGGAGTACTGGGATTCTAATGAATGTAGGTACGCAAATAGACCCATTTTCCTGCATAAAATAGTTGTGAAAGGAGACAGAAATGTGCAGCTGATAATGAACTTGGCAGAGAATATTTACCCCCATGTAAGGCATCACTTTAAAATATCAAGTCATACAATACAGAGTAGGTAGTTTTACCTATCAAGATTGTGACAGTAGTTGTGAATAAAAGCAACACAAAAACATTACAGTAAAAAAATTATTTTGTTAAACTACAGTTAAACTACAGTCATGAAGCAATTATTTGTGTGAGCAGTGTATTGAGCTGCAGGAGTTGTAATTACGTGCCAGTTTAGAGACTAGCACAATATCTTTTACTCTGTTCCTTCTGTCCCCTCCTGAACCTTAAACCTATCAGCCAAGCTGTGCATGGCCCATTAGCCAACTAGCAGGGAGGGGCTGCGGAGACTTTATGTAACAATGAAAGATGAGTTTGACATAGTCATTGTCGGCTAAATAACCCCTGGCAGCACAAAAAGCCTTTGAGTTTGCGATGAATAATTGGATGAACACACTGGAGTTGTTTGTTAGAGCAAAAACAGAAGAGCAGGGGCACCTAGACCCACTCCGCTGATGGATACCGGAAAGAGAGGAACATCTGCTAATACTGTAATACAAGACAACCATTGTTTCAGAATGTTGTGGTGTGGTTGTAATCATCCCTCAAATACATTATATTCAGAATCCTGCTTGATTAGAAACTGCAGGAATAAAGGAAGAGCTGACTTACGAGCAGGCAAAGGCCACCAGAGCTCCGCTGACCACAATGAAGTCCAGGATGTTCCACAGGTCACGAAAATAAGAGCCAGGGTGGAGGAGCAGTCCCAAGTCAATCATCTCAAATTGCAGAATAAATTGTAACAGGATTATTTTAAACATCATACACGCTAACACAGACACTTTCTTTATTTGAAGGCCTCTTTTAGAAACATTTTCTAACCTCCATAGCCCATGAAAATCTTTTTATTGTTTTAATATTTAGTACCGTTCCTTTCCACTGACGCAAAGCATTCATTATCTAAAGCATTTGGAAACAGGAGTGTTATCACAAGTAAGAAATGTAAAACCACAAACCAAGTTAGTAAAGCCTGTGACATGATAATGCTGTCCGCTGTGAGCTAGTGTAGCCCTCCCAGTAAAAACTGATATGGTGATTTGCAGATCAATAGACGGCTAGAAAAAGCTGTTTGATTTAAAATGACCATATCTAAATATTTATTAGATGAAAATCACCATCATGTAACCTAAACATCTCAAAAAGTTTCAATTTTAAATTTTTGAAAATTACCAAAATCTTGCTTAGCTGGTTTTTAGAGCTCAAATGAAAGTGTGTCTTCACTTCCACAGCATTCTCACCTTAATCACCATCTCAAAAGTGAAGACTCCGGTAAAGACATAATCCAGATACTTGAGAACCTGTAAAACAGAGTGTAAGAAACTATCCTGTGAGATGACTCGTCAACAGATCCGGTGACAGATGTTCTCAGTTTAAGACACTTTAGAAGCCTGTATGTGTGTGTGTGTGTGTGTGTGTGTGTGTGTGTGTGTGTGTGTGTGTGTGTGTGTGTGTGTGTGTGTCTGTGTGTGTGTGTGTGTGTGTGTCTGTGTGAATGGACCAGATATGCACAACATGTTCCCCTGCCCTGTCAGAGGTCTCAAGCTCTGTCAGCTTTGCACTCCCCTGCACTAACGTTTCCCGAACGCCCACACAAGCACACACACATGAATAAACAGCATGCACACGCACATCACCTCAGATTCCCTCTGTGCCCTTGACTAGAATACAAATTAGTTGTGCTTGTCTGTCAAAATGCTAAAACTCAAGTAACGTGTCTGTGTACTTGTATTACCTCCTTATTTCCAACATGAGCTAACATGCTATTCAGGAATATAAAGAGTACAGAAACATTTTCCCAAACTGGACATGCACCACATGCATTGTTTTATTAACACATTTCTCAATCAGTAACATTGTTTGACAAAGATTGCTTAAAAAAAGATTGTTTTTGTGTTTTCTATCCTTTGTTCCTCAACCTGGACAAACTGTCAAGCTCTGTTAGGAAGAACTGAATGAATCAGCCTGTCAACCCAAATGAGATGTATTTGTGCGTGAATCCTCATGCGCTTGTTTGAGCATGCACATTTTCAGATACTGGTTTGTGTGACTGTATGTCTAACAACCAGTGTGTTTATTGGGTACTTCCAGATGTTTATTTATGAAGTCTAGATGTCAGTCTGACTCACGTTGTTGCGTGGGGCATTAGCTTGCACGGGGTCCTCGGCTGCCAGAGCGATGCTGCTCATGGTAATTACCATCAGGATGCACATTTCAAAGTAGCGTAGGTTGACCACGTAGTGACACAGCCGCCGCACCCTGCAAGACCACACACACACAAAATACAGAGGAGCGACAGATCCTTGTCAAAATAATGCACAGAAGTGGATCAGAAACACCTTCATCTTTAGTATCGGCTCCTTCATCACCACGACAGTCTGGTACATCTACTTTTTTGCTCACTCATAAAAAGACACTCCTGAGATACTTGTTCCCTTGGGGCACCAACCCATCGTCTTCCAGCAGAGTGCCATGGCCTCAGATTTGAGATTATGGTCCACTAAAGGAAACAGGACTACATCATCAGCATAGAGGAGAGACATAACTCTGACTCCAGTTACACAAAGTCAGGATGGAAGTTACCTCTGAAATGGAGGGTTTGAACGTGTTTGAACATCTCCCAGAATGCAGAAAAAATTCGAACCTTGTTGCCAACTAAGTGTTCCGACAGCTTTAATCATCTCCTGATCTTACTCACTACCAGGTGGGGACAGCTCTACGTCTTGCTTCATGCAACAAGACTTTCAGCTGCAGAACTGACATTATGACTACAAAATGAAACATCCATCTTTGGACCTTAGGTGTTATACCTTATGCTTAAACATGCATTTCTTAATGGACAATCCATAACAGGCACAGAAGTGCAATAAAATGGCACCACTCAGTTTCAAATCACAGAGCCCTTCTTGCCATCAGGTTTCTGTCATTGCCTATGTGAGAAATCAGGTCTCACAGCAGAACTGTGGAGTAGCAGCACTTTCTCCAGGATGCCACCGAGACAGAAACTCTAAACTGCACAGATAACATCATGCCTTCATAGGCATTATGAGACATATAATACTCTGAGACATTTTTTTAAAATCCCTGGAAAGTTATCAGACTGGCAAGTATCTTATCTTTTTTCGTGATGATTACAAGGTAAGCAGTAATACAGTGTTTACACGACAAAGTAATCTACCAGGATTGCTATTTAATTAGGGCTCACTCTCCCTGAGATGCAGTCATTAGAGAATACCATCTTGTTCCCCAGGGAAACCCTCAACATACTGTTGGTCGTGAGTGTCACAACGGCAGTATTTTACTAATCTCCGGATAACAGGAGAGTCTAGGCCCTGTCAGGACTTCTGGAGCCAGCACAGTGCTTAGAGTTAGGCTCATTTTGATCTTATTGGTTTTGCTCAATCTGATGCACTGGCTGTGGCTCCTTCACTACCTGAGAGAGGACATCCTGATAACCACTTTTTGAAACCAGAGGATCAGTCCACAAAGTACCCATGCCGCCTGCTGTCCACTGGCAATGCACCAGACTTCACACCGAAACAAGTGATATTTTCAGATGAACAAACAAGTTGAAATTGAATATTGCATGTCATCTTTTCTGGTCAATATTAAATACAATTGAGGAGTTAGTTTTTTTATACAATGATTTCTGTTCATTATCCCAAATATATAGGCTTTAATTAAGTAATGAAGGTATGTCTGACATATTTCGTGAGGAAATGAGGATGAAGAGAGTACAGGAATAAGCAGCACATTAAATGTATAATTTCTTTAAATGATTGCTTTGACAAAGTGGGTGAATTGAATGATTTTGGGGAGAAAAATAATACATGTACAACTTGCAGTAACCTTGTGCTGGGAGTTTTCCCCACTGTACATGGTAAAACCCTAATCGTGACTGGGTTTTACTAACTTTTAATTGTTCTTAATTCATCCCAAACTATCAATCTTATTCCGCGTCACTCCTCTCAATCACCTCCCAGTTATGACTTACGGGTTTGTTTGCCCGAAGATGAACATGGAGCTGTAGGGAAGGATCTGCCGAGGCCCATTAGCCGCCTCCTCCTCCTCCTCCAGATCTTTCTTCTCTTCACTGAGTTGGAAGTTGTCGCAGTCGATGTTGTTCACTGGTGTGGAAAAATAAATACACTCATTTAGCTCAAAGATGAACATTTGTTTTTTTCTGTGAAATCAAAATGCAGGCTATTGGTCTATGTAGTTGTTTTATGAGTGTATTTACTGTCTGCATTTATAAAAATGTATAATCAAAAACGTGATTAACTTGGTTGATCATTCAAAGAAAAGCTGTAGCTATAGTATTATTGAGATAGGAGCATTCTGTAACATTACATCATGTAAGATCAGTTAAAAACACTGTATGTGAAGATTTTACTCATTAATTTCTTTGCTGAGATTTGGGGCTACGGTGATATTCTTAATTAGTCTTAATTACCCTTAATGACTGTGCTATAAAGTGATGAGTACTGGAAATAATATAAGATTACGCTTCTAACTGAAAAAATGGCAAAAACTTTTCCTTCCCCACTTGACGTGTCGTACTCACTGGGTATGATGGTGGTTTCTCCAGGTGGGGCAGTGATGGTGACAGGGATGTGGATGGTGTTGCTGTTGAGGCCAGCCTGGCTGGCCCTGGTGGAGTTCTTCTGATTGTCAGCATCCTCTTGCTTTTCTCCAAGACTCAGGCTACTCCGCATTGGCCGCAAAGGACTGGAGGCGAAGCCGTCTTCCACAGCATCTGGTTGCCTCTCCCTGGGGAAAGAGATGTGTATTTTATCACAGGCATCATTATACTGTGCTCTCAGGGAGCTTCAAGCTTTTTTTTTGCCAAATTAGATCCATTTCTGTCCCTCTGGGAAACGGACCACAACCTATGTGGCAACAAACTAGAAGTAAACTTACTGTTACCCAAACACTCGGTTATATGTTGTTACGATGTATAATAGCAAACAGAAGCAAATAGTGTCTTAGAATATGAAATTTAAGTACAAAAAATTCACTAGAGAGTTAATTAAGTGCAGTCAGATGCAGGCCCATCAGAGAGCTGTCAAGCTGTAGTAGTGTTTAATAGTACTGTTATGCCTGTACCTCTTGTACAAATACTCAAAACAGGCAATGGAAATATAAAATGAAGCAAGACTATGCAACTGCTTTCTCGCCTCAAATGTATTCATTCTGGTGAAAAGTTCAGAGAAATTTGATGCTTCCAGATCAGTTTTTTTTAACTTTGGTGAGAGAAGCGATATTATGCCTGCCATAATATCTAACTGCCATTTAGTGAAAACATTTCATTTTTTTATCATTATTATTACAACCATGTTCTTGTTTGCATAGTTTTTGCCAATTGCATCAGTTATGCTAACATTCACTAATCAATTTCAGTTTTGTCTTTAACAGAACAAAACGTCAACACAATAAAAGGTAATAAAGTTGGTGTGTAATATGTCAAAAGTAAAAAACAAGACCCAGCTTAGAAATATATAAATAAATAACCATCTTGCATTTATTGAATAAAACATCTGCAGTCTTACCATTGACCTTTGGTTCCATTCTTGTTCCTATTGCAGTCGTCTCCATCCAGTGTGGAATGAGCTCTGACCATACGAGAGCAGCGTCCCTTCCTCTCTCCATTACTATCCCCTCCTCCTCCTCCTCCTCCCCCCTTCCCCCTGCGGTCTCCCTGTGCACCATTCACTATCATCCCATTTCCCTCTTTTGGTGGACGATGGGAGTGATGGTGGCGATGTCCCCTTTCTTCTCCTCCTCCTCGCACGTCATTGGCCTCCTCCTCAGGGGAGCCCGCCTGGTGGTGGTGCCTGTGACCCTGCCCTCCATCACGGCTGTGGCTGCTCTCCCCTCTCCTCTCTTTTATCTGGCCACTGTCGCCGTTATCTCTGCTCCGGCTGTGATGGGTGTGGTGCCTCCCTCCTCCCAGGCTGTCGCTTCCCTCCCTGCTCTCCCCGTTCTTCTCGCGGTGCCGGTGATGCTTCCTGGAGTGTGTGTGGAAGTTGTCACCCGACCCGTCCTGCCGTGGATCCCCTGCCTCTTCCCGTCCTCCTTCGGGAGGTCTGCTGGGTTTGTCACCGTCTCTGGCCTCCACCACGAGCGGTCGGTCCAGGTGAGTCTTCATGTCAGGGTGCAGATGGAGGGCGGAGGACATCCGGAGGCGCTCCTCGGGGTCGAGCTCGTTGAACAAGGCCTCACTGCTCGCCCTCATGTTGTGTCTCCTCAGCTGGTTGGTCCTCTGCTCCCACACTGACATGGCTTTTGCTGACCGCTGTTGTTCCTTACTGCACACAGGAATCAAACCCACAGGAAAAGATCATGTGACAATGAAAAACTATGAAAAACTATTACGTGTCTCGCTTTTCTCTGCTCATTGGGTTCTTTTTTGTATGGGATTTGGTTGAACATCACCATCCACAGTTTCATCCATAGCTACACCATCATTATTTAATTCTAGTCATCAAACCTGTGACAAAGTACAGTAAGTAGTAAAGAACCAGACATGATGTGGCCTATGGATGCTTCAGCACAAATGTTCACCATGGTATAGCTTTCACTTACCATGCATGAGTGTTATATGAAGAAGTAGCTAAAATTTCCACTGCAAAATATGATTATTTTTTATTTCCCAGCAATTATGATGGTAGGATCACGTTCACATTTTGTTGTCACGACATGACCTGATCACGGGAGGCCAGTACCTTATTCTGAGTCTTCCCCCTGGCTTTTATACAGGCATAAAAATAATTCAGTCACACTTCTGGGATAAACTGACCAATGAATACCATCCATAAAGAGATACTATGGGGTAAGGACATTTTATATGTATTAAATTGATCTAATCTGCACCAACTATCAGGTGTGTGTTGTTTATCTTTTAACAACAATTCATGCAGAGTCTTTCCCTTTGACACTCCGCCTATCAAAAATGAGACTTAAAAGACAGGTTCACATTTTTCAGGTCCAACCTTGGAAGAATAATAACAGCTTTTAGTAGCTGTGAGTCACCACTTGAAATACAACTTGTGTGAAGAATACAGACTGGGCAATTCTGTTTATTTTGTTTTAATTTTTTTTTCACAATGTAACTATGTTTTGTACTGTGAAACATATTTTTTATTATTATTTTAGCTTCACATCTACAGTCATAAGTTAGAATTGTCTGACACGTCATGTGGAAAAGCTTGGCATACAAGTAAACTGAAACAGAAATCATTTTTCAACTTCTGTTTGACTCAGGTCATGTGTAAATGGGGCAGGCAGGAAAAACGTGCTATGTGCGATGGCGATTCCCAACATGTATCTTCTTTAAAGGCATATTATGCAGTATTTTCTTTGTTTTCGCTAACGCTGATCCTTCTCTTTATTGACCTTCTAGCTTGCTCAACCACCACTGTTCTCTCTCTTTCTCTTGCTTTTTGAACCAGGAAAGATTTCTGAATAGTATGCCTTTAAGGATAACAACGAGCTGATTACCGAGTTGAGAAGAACGTGGTAAGAGATCACACTAACGAGTGAAATGAGATTTTGAACATGGGGTTCTCTACATAAGTGAGAACAGACAAAAACCATATTTCCATCTATCATGTATGAAGACATTGCATACGGTTTCTGTTTCTGCACAGTATGACTTATTTACATGGGGCTTTATGGGTTAGTTAAGTTTGTTCCATCTGGTCACCTGTACCTCAAGATTCGTCGGGCGGGGGAGGAGTAGACAGAATAACTCCTAAAAGACAGACAGAAGACACAGACAGACAGAAGACACAAAGGACACAGGACAGGCGTCCACAGACAGGTGAGCTACAGACGTACAAGTAGTGTTTATATGTCTACAGAAAGGAAAATGAGAGACGTAACACTGAGGAACTATTATTTTGATATATTAACAAAGCACATGCACACACTGAAAAACACATGGAGGGCAACGTCAAAGAAACACACAGTTAGTTCTGGTTATAAACGCATGTTATCTCAAAGAGGTGAGATGTTGAATAAGCGTCTCTGGCCTTCCGTCTGCACTTTAAATGATTGAGACAACAGATCGCCGGGCAGGGAATCAAACTTACAGCTGTCCGCTTAATTTTGGCCTCAGCTCATATTCTCTTTGAAAGTGATGTCCTGGAGTCTACGATAACAAACAGACTGGAAACGTCAAACTGCCTGCGGTGATGGCTACGCTCAGAGAAATTAAACATTTATACACAAATTATTTACTTCAGAGAGCACAGAGTGGAAGATGAATTACTGTAGGCACCAACACAGAGGAGCTGCAGCCATAAACAAAGTACACAGTGGTTGGTTAAGGCCAGAGGGAAGCATAACTGTGTTTATGTATCAGCGATTTACACTTAAAATTACCCTCACACTGCCTTCATAGCTTCAAATGTATTATGGGTTTGTGCTATTTGCATGTAATTGCATTTTTTCGCCCTATGAAGCATTTTGTGATTGCTTGCTTCTCTTTTTTTTGTAAGAATCCTAAATACATTTCACTTTGCCAGCAATGAAGACATAAGCTACAATTTAGTTTTATGGACGTCAAGAGGAGAAGAGGAGAGGAAAAAGAGAGGAGAGGAGACACGGAGAAGTAAAGAGAGGAAAGGAAACAAGGAGGTAAAAAGACAGGAGGGGACAAAAGGGAAGAGGAGGAAAGAGATGATGGAGCGAGGAAATGAGTAAAGGAGAGGGAAAGAGAAGACATAGAAAATAGAGAGAAGAGCAGGTGATAACCAGAGAGGAGAGGAGAGGAGAGGAGAGGAGAGGAGAACAACCAAGGAAAGGAGAGGAGGAGGAAAATATTATAACAGAGAGTGATAACTCACGGTGACTGAATGCTGTTGATGGACGACCTGCGAGAGAGTGCATCTCGATTTTGCTTTACAAAACTGTACATGCAGAACAAAAACAAAAGAAAAAATGAGACACAAATCCGAAGGGGACAGGTGGACCGTCAGTGTGTCTGTCCACCTGTCTCCTCCTGTCTTACAGTAAAGGACTAATCTGTGCAACTACTTCAATAACACAACAGCAACAAAAGCGTGTTCGTTAGCAGAGACATTTCATAATGACAAAAAACTGAAACTGAAAACAGTTCAGGAGTTTCATTCCAAAACAAGAAAAGCAGAAGTTACTACCATTCAAATAATAGGAATAGTAAAAACTATAGTAAAAAAAGAGTATTCAATATATTCAGATTGTTAAATAATTTCTAACAGGAATTTTCTGGGGTTCTTTTTTCTCGTAAAGCTTTAGTCATTTTGTAATGAAACCCTGTGTATTTCTGAACCAGCACACATGAACATAAAACAGTTCATTTAAAATAAAAACAGTTATTTATGAGCTCGCTCACTTTAGTGTCACCACACTGTTCAATGTAAAAACAAAAAAAAAAATTAAAATATTCTGCGGACGCTGACAGTAATGCACATAATAACAGTAAGACACAGAAAAGGAAAAGATTTGAAAGTTAGCTACCCAGTGACCATTCTCTACAGTCTAATTGACCTATTTCTTGGTGAGGAGGACAGCAATTAAGGAGCGAGTGTGAATCAAAGATGATCACTTCGTCAAATGAATAGAGGGCTGTCACACAAAGGGCTGCACAGAGTTGAATAAAACACAATCCAATATAGACTATGTGCATTAGTGTTTTTTTCCCACATTAACTGAATAGATGGGTATCAAAGAAACTGGTTTTAACGTCCAGCTTTACATATTGCAGCAATTAATCACTGATAAGGATGAAAAAAAGGCTCCAGTTTTCACACCAGCTTCCTCTTGACAGACTCTCATAATTTCAGTGTTCATTCAGGCTCTAAAAATAGTTAGAATTTGGAGGCGCAGTTAATTTCTGCTTCGACACTAGACCCCAGACCTGTCAATCATAGGCTTGTGGTGGAGAGGGGGTGGGTCAAAAGTTTTAGCGTGACAGGTACTATCTGGGTATATGAAGACATCCCTGTCATTATCATATTAGAGAAGATGGGAACTTCTGACAGCGGAGATTACGTTTTTTTTCCTATCTTGTTCATACTGTAAAACTCATGTAACCTCTGTCGTCTCTCTGTTCATCTGTTTCCTCTTTCTTTCAACACAAGTCCAGGGAATAAAAAAATAGATATACCATAACATTCTTAATTGGAATCTGTGCAGAAGTAGATGCTTAGTTTTATCATATTATTAATTAATATAACCTAATTAATAGAACGTTTAATAGAACCTAATTAATAGAACGTTTACATTTCCAATCTCATCATCAATAGCAACACTTTGCAGTGTTGTATTTGCAGTTATTAGTGTCATCTACTAGTTTACTGTTAGTAAGCCATTTAAATAGACTTTATTTAAGACAACTCTTAGAAACATAATTCAGGAATTCTCTAATGTTTAAATCCCATTAGCCAAAAACTGTTTATTCTGGAGAGCCGCTTATTGAGAGCTGACTTTTTGTAGTAATGACATACTAGAACAAATTTCTAAAGCAATATAATAGCTTGTTCAGACGTGGGACAGCCGTTCTGAAAATGAAATTCCATTTTGGCAGCATGTAATGAGACTGAATGGATAAGACGTTGAATGAAGTATTGAAAGATCTTATTTTCAACCAGTCATGAAGCAAATCAGACATTTTTGTCATTCCTGTTCCATAAATCCTTCCAAAACTCTGCCATCACAACGTGTTAAGATGTAGATTATGGCTTTAAGGGAGAAACAGGCTTGTGTCTGTGAAATAATTTTTTTTTAAAAAGAAAAGAAAAGAAAAAACAGCTTGTGGAAATTAACATGTTGTTGACTGGGGCCTCCTTAATTGCTTCTACTACTGAGGAAGGTAGACAATTGGGTATAATAAAACCAGGCAACACCACAGGAGCACTCTCATAGTGGGAGTCGATGAGGAGAAGTCCAGAACGTATATCAATCACAGTACGTATATACACACACATTTGAGACTGGGAGGGAAGAACATGAAGCAGGACAACACACTGAATGATAAAAGGACATTTATCTCCTGTGTGGGTGAACAGAGCTGCTGTCAGGGAAGAGAGATGCTCGCAAACTTACGCAGCGATTGAGATGTTAGCTGCTGACATCGGACTGACTTCTTTCACCTCTAAAGCCTTCTGAAGGGCGAGCTTCTTATTGGCTGCCTCCTCCTGCTCCTCTTCATCCTTCAGCCAGTGAGAACCAAGACATAAAATTGTGTGCAGTGATGTCGAAGCCCTGTGCACATGCATGGGCTTTTCTTGGGTTTGACATATTTGAACATAAAGTAGAAACCTAGAACATCTTTATTGCGTCATATGTCTCATTAATGTGTTTTCAAATGCAACATTCAGACAGCCAGCATACCTTGGTCAGCTCCTGTGCATTCGCGAGGTTATCGACAGCGATAGCCAAGAAGACATTCAGGAGGGTGTCTGAATAACAGCAGAACTCAGGAGAAAATACAGATGTACAGTATGTATCCTGTGATGACATATGCAGTGTTTTTCTTCACCAAACTAGGAGAAGGCCCTAACATTGATGATCTGGTCGAACTGCCAGTTTGCCTGTCAGATCACAGAGAATATTTCAGTCCTGAACAGGATATCTAGGCAACTGCTGTTCAGGCTCTGCATTTATCAAGTTTCTCAGAGTAAGAAATTGGTCCTAACTGGCCAAAAAAGTGCTGCATTTTTGCTCCTATGGAACTAGAAATTAAAAAAAAAACTTTTAGGAGAGCTCCAGAGGTGTCCTCACCTGTCAGGAGCAGCCAGGGGATGGCATTCATTTATGACAATGAGCTTAATTTGTCGTTTGTCGCACGATGCGAAAGAGGGCAAATGTTCTCGTGGCGAAACTGGTGTCCAACTTTACAGCAACTGAAATTGGGTCCGTCACAACCAACAATTACTGCAGCAATAAATCAAACTTTGATCATTTGTACAGCTCAGTACATTCATTTCCCCTCCACTCAACTCAAAGATACATGGATAAACTTGCCAATCCTCAGTTTATTTATTGAAAATAACAGTGACGTGAATAACAGACGGTGGAGCTTAATTTTAAAGATATGTTCATATTGTTATCATATATTTCCCACAGTAACACCTGTGAGAGTACATGAGCTAACAGAAGCTGTAGTTGAAAGGTGACTTAATGAAAGAAAAGAGAAATGTCCCACTGTCCCACAGAGGCTTTGAAACATTACTCCTGCTGGACACTCATTTTAGCCTTTATATAAATCATTATACTATACTGTAATGGTAACCTCTATAATGGAGATTGTCATGAAAAACCCTTTTTTAAATTCCTTGATTGTTTGACGCTTTCCTCTCATGTCTCCATCAAGAAAAAGGCTTTCAGCTCCACAACTGTTGTGTACACTCACAAATGAAAATGTGCTTGATTTTGAGCGCATTGTTGATGGACAGTAGGGGTGTAAAGAGTTACCTATACGAGTCGGAAATGGGTTTTAACGTTATGGATGGAACAACATAGATACGACCCCTGGATCAATCTAAATGTACCATCAACTGGTCGAAAGGTCTGATTATAAAGTTATGAATTGTTTGACAAACTATTTTGCAGCTTCTCCACTCTCATTAAAAGTAAATGGTCAATGCGAGGGTCTCCCGTCAAGAGCAACGATAGCAACGTTAGCACAGCGTGGCTTGCAAGGTCGGTACATAAACATAAATGTCCAACAACGCCGACACGATTTCCAGTACACCATCAAATCTTAAATCTAAAGTTTGGAAGACATTTGGATTCTATAAGAAGGAAGGAAAGTTGGACAAAAGTCTAGCCATCGGTAAGATCTGTCGGACAGCAATTAAGCAGTAAGGGACATTAACAGTAGCACAACAAATCTTAACACTCATCAGAAGAGACGGCATGGTGACACCTACACAGGCGACGAGGAGTCTGTGGATGCTAACACAGCTAGCACAAGAAAGAACACGCAAGACAGGGATGTTAAACACTTTCCAGCCACAACTTAACTACAAGGTCGAATGTAAGCAAAGTCACTTTTATAGAATTGGCTTATTTTAATTAAATCTCTACATTAAACAAATGTTAAGAACTGTATCAAATTGCATCGTATCACATCAAACTGCACACAGAACTGTTCCATCGTCCCTGGATTGTATCGTAGCCTATGTATCTAGATATGTATGTATCGGATCATCTTAGAAAGGAGAAATGCACACTCCTAATGGACAGTGTCTTCTCTCAATGCAAAGCAAAGAAGAAATAGAGAAGCTGAGCACACACTGCAGTTTGAGGTGTTAAAGAGGATACAGTTTCCAAAGAGCGTGAGTACGATGAAGTAGACGGAGGAGAACATGCCGCGGCGAACGCCTCCTTGAGACTCGATCCCGTGGTACATCACGGCGTTCCAGTCCTCGCCAGTCAGAATCTGTGGAAGACAAAAGAGTCAGAGTGACGCCGGGGACACGGGCGGGTTGTAAAGCACCATGCAAATCTCACAGAGTGTAGAATTAAATTACTTTACAGAGTGAAGGGTTATGAGCACAGACTAATTGAAGGATTATCAGCAAGCTCATTAGGGGACAGAAGGTACACAGACCAGTCATTCCCTCTAATTAAAATGACGGATAACAATCTTTCTTTTTCTATAAAGTCAATATTCTCTCATTTATTCAGACTGTGTGAAGAGCACCTTGTGTGAGTCTGTGTGCAGGTGTGTGTTACCTGGAACACAGTGAGGATGGCTGCTGGGAAGGTATCAAAGTTTGTCGTTGGCGTCTCATCTTCAAAGTTAAACCTAAAATTCAGAATCAGAACAACCTCATTACAAAGAGTGGAAAATCGGAAATGACAAAAATGTAGTCCCAGTCAGATCTTAATGGCATCTACCTGCAGTTCAGGAGAAGATACAGGGAAAGGTATGTTTATTTATTTAAAAAAAATTAATTAAAATAAAAAATATCAAGAAACCACTCGGATTGATAATGTTAGGAACCTGTTGCTGAGCTCTCACTACATGTTTCTGTCCATGAGAAACATGACACAGCATAAAAATACACACATTCACACCTTGAGTCACAGCTGCAGCTTCTTTTTCTTCTCCTGTAACACTTTTATTATCTACTGTCAATCCACAATGACCCCCCCGCCCCCCAAAAAAACACACACACAAACCTTTGTACTGCTGTACTTGTGAGGACCTTCACTAACATAATGCATTCTATTCACCTAACGCTTACCTGTCTGGCTTATTACAACTTGGTCTTATTTTTATCTTAGTTTAAATCATATGTATTGTATACTTTTTTTTAACTTCTTTGAGTATTTTAAAAAGTCAAGTTACTTTGTTTTAAGTATTTTCTATTTTAAGTATTGCACTTCACTACATAGTCCCATATAATAGTCATTTTAAAGACTGTAACAAAAGAAAGGTGTTAATTCAGTGGCTGCAGCAGAGAAGAAGCTCCTGTGTTGCTTCCACGTTGTGCGCCCCACTGCACATGCCCATTAGTGTTTCCCTGCTGGCTTCGCAAAGCATTCCCACTTGGCCCATAGACTTTACATTGATGATTTCATGAAAATAAAATAGCTTTTCTAGGCTCTGGGAAAGTTTGATGGATTCAAAACTCATAACACAAATAGAATTATTGACGTTTGCTGTCAGAGGTGTCCGGTTTTACAGACATGGTCCCCGTGGGAAAAGGCTTTTTGGGCTGCAGGGTATTTTTTTGTGGCAATACCGTGAGCGACCATTATAACAAATTGGCAGCAAGACTAAGTGGTCGAGCCAGCTCTCTTAATTCATCCACGATGCTGAAAACTATGTAGGTGCCGTATTAATACATCTCCATGTTGTCTGGTGATGGTTTATTCTGATATCAGTTCTATAGAAGTGGCAGGTTATTTAATTTATATATCCTAATATTTCTTGTTGCACCTTCTGTGGTGTCTATAGATCTTCTTCTTTATTGTTTTGTCTCTTTTCTGGTTGATTCTAGTAAGGCTACACTGAGGAAGATGGTTATATATTTATAATTGACAATCAGTTGTACCCACAGGCTGCAAAGTGCTATAAACTATAGAAAATTAATTCATTGTTTGTTTGGACATGGTTGTGTTGTTTTTGTATGTTCACATGGAAATGCAATTTACTTTGTTGCCTAAAGGTGTTCTTTATTTTAATAGTTCTATCATATAAAATTATCATCATTACACCATCCACTCCCCCTTTTTGATTAAAATGTAACGCAGTAACAATTGCTCAGAGTAATTTTAACTGACCTACTTTTTACTTTTATCTTTTACTGTTAGTACATTTTTGCGAAAGCAGTTTTACTGTGTAAAATGTATTTAAAGTACAAGTACTTTTGTTTGAGTAAAATATTCCAGTATTGTTTCTATCATTGAATAACACCAGGATCTGGGAACGTGGCAATGTTTGTACAATGGAGTCCATAGGGATAGAAATATGAGCAGTCAGTCAAGGTGTAAACAAGCCTACAGTTCCCCCAACCATATTTACTATAGCACACACTTTTCCTGTGCAATGAAGGATTGTTACCAGCAATACAGGTGCCCTCACTTTCAGATTTACTTCCAAATAAAGTGGTATATATAATCTGACTGCTTGTGTTTCTTGGCCCAGATCTCAGTAATTAACCTGGTGAGCTGAACTGATAAATTTTGGCAAAAACCACAAAGGTAAGATTCAGGTTGTAACAAACCAGACTTATTTAACCATTGAAACTACATGTTGAACCCCAACCTTTGCCATAACCTTAATAAGGACTGAAATGAGGGCAGGACAAAATGTCCTCACCTTTAAAAAATGTCTAAAACTGTCTCAACGTCAGTCCTCACAAAGACAGAAATACAACACAAATATAGGAGTACGTTTTTCAGATTTCTTTACAGCTTCAGATAGAGACTAGTGTATTCATAGATGAAGGGAGTTGTCTTGTATTGATAATGGATGAGACAGAAGGACAGAGAAACATGCAGCAGCAGGAAACACTATTCACCAGGGAGCCACGGCTCCAACTTTGAAGTCCAAAACACACTGCCTCTGCAGCTCAGGGCTGCATCATGTGACACATGTCATATGCACAAAAAGGAGGCAGCACGCTATCGAATCTGCCAGGCATATTAACCATCTAATATCAAGCAAATAAAGTAAATTAATTGATTCAGGAATTTTCTTTTTTTTAAACATCATTCCTCACCTGAGGAGCCAACATTCTGCTCACCAGGAAAGGTGTTTTTAAAAAATTTAGCTTTATAATACTGAAGCTGTTGGTTGTAAATATCTTTGTATTTGAGTTTCTCCTTGTCTGCTGTAACAGCTACAACACCACAGAAAAAGGCTGATATCAGCTGACAAGAGAAATAATTGAGGAAGCCTGGATATGCCTGGCAGTGGTCTGAAGAATCTGAAAAAAGAAGGATTTCTTTTCTGATGTGTCGAAGCTTCGGCACCTCAAAACTACAGCTGTGTGTGTGTGTGTGTGTGTGTGTGTGTGTGTGTGTGTGTGTGTGTGTGTGTGTGTGTGTGTGTGTGTGTGTGAATAGAGTACAGTACAGACAGCCGTCTTGACACACATCCTACAGTGCCAGTATGTTTTGGGCTCAACACAACAGCACTCCTGAATGGAAAGTTAAACACACTTCAACACAGGGAAAAGACATTGACAGAAAACACAATGGCAGAAAAAACAGATTAAGAGTGAATGAATGAATGAATGAAGGGAGATTCAGTCTTTACAAATTGCACTATTGGTAGTGCCATCCTTTTCATCTCAAAAGCTGATTTCAGTCAAGTTCATAAACTGCTAAATATTAGAGGGTAAATAAAAGACTCATTGACTCAAAGGTCAATAAATCTGAGTAATAGTAAATTGGATCCAAAGTGGATTCAGCCATGTGAACCCAACACTACTGGCTTTACACAAACATGAAACACTTTCCATCTTCAGCTATAATTACATTAATACAGATGTATTCCTGCAGATTTATTTTGTGTTAACATGAGTTTTTCATGAAATTTAACAGCAGGGTCCAACTTAATATCGTCACTACTTTCATCACACATGCACACTTTCTACACAGAGGATCTAAATCTTTTCAGAAAGCCCACAAATGACCCAACAAACCTGCCAAAACCTGAATCCGTGGTCTTGAAACTGAAGAAGACAATGAGAGAATGACAGAGATGCATAAGGATGGGTTGGTCATTCCACTGAAAATAACCTACACTGCTGATCATTCGGCATTGTGTTAAATATAAATATAAAGAGGCATGTGCAGGAAACATTTGTGGCTGGGTGGGAAAAGGGGATATAACAAATTGAGGCAATATTCAAGTTTAAGAGCAGTTGTTAAAGGTATTTTAAATGTGTGTTGATGTGTGAATTGTTAAAAGCAGTGAAATCAGAAGGTCCACAGCATCCAGGGAAAAAAACATTAAAGACAGTTAAACAGTGATTGTTATAAGTTAGAATTTTCTTCGTATATGTGAACACAAATGCTGCCAATTTCACCTGCTTCATATTCAACAGTGTAACATTGTCTTGACACCACTTAAGAAATCTGCCTTAGCTCAAGATAATATGGTTCACTTTAATTATGACCAGAAAAACTTGTGGGACATTATTTCTTGTTATTGTTATTTGACTGACATTCAAAGATTCAAGGAGAAGAAAATTATTTGCTTTTCTTCTCATAATTCTTTTGTTTGTAGTTGAAATTTTACAATTGTTCACCTGGCCTCAAACAATCAAAGGATATAAGACTCAATAACACATACAAATGAGAGTGTTGGTTAAAGGTTATCAACTGTGTCCTCAGATTTAGCTGTTAGGGCTCTGTTTTTGTGATGCAATGCCACCTTACAACAAACTGGAGTAACGACCACATTTCATGAATACAGAAGGAAACTTTTTCAGAATTGTATCACCAGAAAACTGGTGCAACTGTGGTGCCATTGCATTTTGTTCTTTAGATCAGGCATTCCCATTTAGGGTCTGTTGTACCCCAGGAAGTACTTCAGCATTTACCAGGGGGTACATAGTAGGCAGATTGTAAAGTCACTCAGCCACAGAAAAAAATATTTACTGACTACAGCAGTATTCAAAAGTTAGCAGTGACTTGAGATATGAGACTTCTTATTAACATTTAACCAAAATCACAATCTTTCCCCAATCTTAACCAAGGGGCTTCTGTTGCAGGAGTCTGGACGTGAACCCTGGACTGTGGTGTGGTAGTCCTGCACTTAGTATGGCCACTATCCACCCCACCCACCTCCATGTGACTCCACAGTATGTTTCAGAAAATGTTGTCAATATAACGTAATTATGAAAACAGTTAAGTGATATACAAAAGTAATTTCTAGGAGACAGCGTTTGATCATATGATTTGCCAAACAAACTGCAGTCTATAAGCACAGAGGATGCCTCACTCAGTTGGTTCCATGTTTTCCTTACAAGGAGAACTATCACGCCTGACCCTCTTGCCATTAGTGATGGGGTACCACAGGGGTCTATTCTCGGTCCACTACTATTTACATTATACATTACATCATTCTTCCTAATCAGTACATTAAAGTCAGTGCTTTCTAAACCAAAGTTTCTAGATAAAGTTAATTCAGTTCTGTGAGATATAGCAATTTTTTAATTTCACAATTTCACAATAGAGGAAGAGCAACAGGCATAGAAATAAACAAACATAAAAAGAGTACAGCAGGTGCACCTGAAATATGTAACTTTGCTGGCAGAAATGCTGAGAACGTCACAAAAATAGAGCCCATTTAATCCTTAACAAACAAGGACAGACATGAGTACTGTTTTTACTGCCTGATAACAGTCAAATTATCTTAAATATAAAGATTTAATACCACCTTGAATATCTTTGATATTGAATGTCTTTGATATTGAATATCTTTGATATCAAGGTGTATGAAAGTAGTTGCTTGACAGAAAAATCATCACAATGCAGTTAACATTGCACAAACAAGGAAGGAATATGCACGCAAGAGCTTATGAATTATACATTGACTGTGTTTTCAGAATGCATTTTATAAATATCAGCCTTTATATGGGTGCATTTGAAATATTTTAATAGAAATCGTTATATGGAATAAATGAAACGTCTTTCACACTTCTATAGACAAAGCATGTGATGTGCCACCTAAAGCAGCTAGAGGAGCAAGAGGGGTGAAAAATGTGTTAGGGGGCAAAACACACATGAAGGAAGAGGGGACAAAGGAAGAAGAAGAAGGGTCTGTAAAAATGAGGAGCAGAAGTGGAGCACCACCGTGACCCTCTGCACAAATGACTGCTGCTTTCTCCTGTGATTCTGTGTGTGTGTGTGTGTGTGTGTGTGTGTGTGTGTGTGTGTGTGTGTGTGTGTATATATATATACTGTAGGCATGTGTACTAGATCCTGACCAAATATGGATTATGGACCAACATCGTTTTTTTTATGGATAATATTGTCCATTTGTTTTTGTTTTTTTACCTAGACTCGTGCAACACCATTTTGTGATATGGGTGTGATATGTCTGAGTGAAGATATTTCATAGTTGACCTATAAACATTATCTTTAAAGATGAATGATGACTGTTAGACTAAATATAAGATAATGGTCAATTTTTAACCGTTTTTTTTCATGGTTTGTGCCCCTGAACTCCAGTTAAGGGAAACATCAGCGCTACACTAAACAACATTTTAAACAACATTTGGAGATCATTTCCTGTTTCAACATGACAATGCCCCCATACACAAAGCCAGGTCCATAGAGAAATGGTTTTCCTAGTTTGGTGTGGAAGAACTTGACTGGCCTAAAAAGAGCCTGACCTCAACCCCATCCAACACACCTCTGGGATGAACTGGAACACTGACTGTCAGCCAGGCCTCATCAGCCAGCATCAGACCGACCTCACTAATACCCTTGTTGCTGACGAGAAAATCTTGTAGAAAGCCTTCCAAGAGAAATGGAAGCTGTTATAGCAGCAGATCTGCCCATAGCTTTGGAATGACATGTTTAACTACCACACATGACTGTAATGCTCGGGTGTCCATATACTTTTGGCTATGTGATGGATCACTGAAAACCCAATATTGGCCAATAATATCAACCAGCATGTATCAGTCTGTCTCTTCTGTACATGCATGACGGACATGGGGGCGGGAAGGGCGAGTGAAGAGAGAGAGGAGAGGGGGGAGGGAAAACTAATTCAATAAGCCCTTACTCCCTTGGTATGTCATCATACTCTCTCTCTCTCTCCCCATGATTCTCTCCTTCTACCTTTGTCCGTCTCTGTCTCATTACTGCGGTCTCTATCGACCACCCCTCTCTCCACCAATCGCTCATCCCTCCATCACCCTCTCCATTTTGCCTCAGCCTCCTCCCCTCCTTTCCTTCCCTGCTCTATACCCATCTCCTCATCCCTCCCTTCTTCTCCCCTACATCCTCCCTTCCTCCTTCCTTGAGGATTAGCGGGCCCAGTGCAGGGAGCGGCGGTGGCGGTTTGCTGCTCCTGTGTGCGACGACCACTGTTTACTCTGATAATAGGGATTGGGAGCGTGCCGTTTGGCTTCCGAGCGACATTCCATGGGGACTTCATTAAATCAATCCTGAGTCATGTGAGGGCACACCCCCCACAAGCTTGTGCCCTAACCCTCCCCATATCTATTCCTTCAGACAATAGCAGCAGGTTTACATTGTGTGGGCGAATGCAGCACACATCTCGGAGAACACACAGGCATGTACACAGGCAAGTGGATTTGAGATAATGGCGTATGATATTGGGAAAAAAAGATGAGCAGAGCATTGGGACTAGGGCATGAATCAGGACACACTGCAGTCTTATGATAAGTCAAGAAATGAAAATGGCTTTTACTGTATGAGGAAGGGTCAGAATAGGCCCACTGTGTATACGAGGGCTGCAACTAATCAGTCCCTCCCGGATCTCATAGAGGTTTCTGTCATTATAACACAAAAACTGAGGCAGACAGAAAAAAATGTTGTTAACATTTTGCAGTTAACTGTGGTAATATTATATAATATTATTATTTTCATATTAAGTTCCATATAGAGAGCAAAAACGTCTTTCAGGATTCTGTGACTTTTTAAAATCTGTATTCAGTATTTAGGGTAACCATGGTCCATGCCATATATTGTTAATAACAAGCACCACGAACCAACAGTTTAGTTTAGGCCTTGAAATAGAGGTGGTTTGAATTTGCTTACTTTAAATGATCATTATTAAGGGTCTGAGTTTTACTTGACTTTAGCCCGTAAAAGTAGTTTTGTACAGTGATTGATTAAATGTATCTTTCAGTTCGACCAATTGAGATGGAATAAATGTGAGGGTTTGAAACAACTGCATGTCGCAAACATTAGACATCAGATTGCAAATTCCTGGATGGACTGACCAGTGATTACTTGATTATATAGTAATAATCATAAATGCTAAGTCTTTAAAATGAATGAAACATTCGGAAACTGCAATGTCAACCTGGTTGGCATTCAGAGTAAATAAAAAAAGGTCTTTTGAAGTGATTCAAGAGGTTGTACAATTACTGAGCCTGCACAGTAAAGAAGGAAATATAAAATGCCATCAATTCTGCGTCTAAAGTCAGAATAATCAACAAACAAGGTCTGCACCTTTAAGATTGAAAGCTACAACCAAAAAAAAAAAAATTATTCTATTACAGTAAATCCTGCACATTTCCTTTGAGCTTATCACATTTTTTTCCCCCCAAACAGTCGGTGATGTCCTGTGAGTCTCAGCAGGGAGACGCTCCTCTGCCTCAAGCTGTTTATCTTTCAATTCTCACAATTTTACCAGGAGATTACTTTTGGTGTTTTGAGAGCAGGAACATAATCTCTGAGCCAAAAATAAAGTCAGAAAATTACAAAGCATCTCTTCTTTTTAACAAACCATTTAATCTTCTATTTAGGGTTGAAAGCCTATTTTTCATTAAATCTGCTTGAGGAATGGTTGTGTTTTCTTTGATTTTGATACAATTAATCATTCTCCGAAACAAAAAGTGGCATTGCCTGCAATATAGAAGAGTTTTTTTTTTTTACTTATTCATAAATCTTGGCTCAAGAAAATGTGAAAATCATTTGACTCCTTTGGTTCATTTTTAAACTTAGACTTCATGTAGGGCATGAACTGAGCATGTATGTTGGTTACGGACATTTTTCGCAAAGAACAGTGTGCTCGGCCTGATGTTCTGGGCTGGCTGGAAGCACCATGTGGACGTCAGACTCATCTCACACTTGTCCATCACCGGAGACTAATGCAACGCTAATGATGGTGCAGACTGTTGTAAGACCTGGTGCCATGGCAACAGCCTGCTGCTTCAAAGACATCCTGTTGTGGTGTGGTGTTTGTGAAGGCCATCAGTCCGAGGAGACGTGAAGTAGTCTTGTTGAAAATAAGGTGTGTATGGCACATTATACATAAAACACATATAAAATACATAAAAATATTTTTGGATTAAGGAATTTAAACTAAAACAGCAGAATTCAGACTTTTAGTACATGCATGGACGCACAGTCTGCGCACAGTCTCAACCAAAAAAACAAAAAAATAAATAAATGATGAGGTTTTTCTAGTAATAAATAAATACCAAAGCCAATTAGCATACTATAATTTAATATGAATCTCAAATTCCCTTATAAGATTAGGGGACATTTTTATAACCCCTCAGTCTTTAATGTAAATGCAAGCTGAGGATATAAGCAACAATCAGGGCTTCACATTGGTCTTTGAATTACCCCTTCAAGTTACAACTTATTCACAGAGTCCTCATGCCTAGACAATTATTTATCAATGCCTTAAATAACCCATATAACCATTACAAAAATCATTCATTAAAAAAATCATTATGGTTAAGGTTTAGTTAGCTTTGGGCAACTGAAACGGCTTGCTTAAGGTTGGGAAAAGATTTTTTTCATGCTTAGAAAAAAAGTAGTGTTGACTGTTGGTAAAAATGTTTACTGATGCACTTTATTCTTAAAATGGTTATGTTTTGTTGTATAATATATGTGTAATGAGTAAAATTTAATAAAGTTGGTAAAAAAGGTAAGAGGCACGGAGGTTTTATGGTGTTATAACAACGTTGCACTATTTTTTCTTTCACGTCTGAGTGACATTATTCATTAATCACATGACCACAAGAGGTCAAACGTGAACGTAGGTCACAGGTCAACAACCAACGCTGCTGTTTTCCTGTTGAGGACAGTCTCAAATCTTTCATTGATGATCATAAGTTTAAAGGGGAATTTCACATATTTTACACATAAAGTTCTCATTTTTTAAATCTGTCTCGTTAGTTCTTCAACTTGGATCTTAGATTTTCATAGTTTTGTCGAACATTTCTATTTGTATTCATCAAGTTCAATGCTGAGATCTGGAGCAGATCTCAGTCAGACAAGAAACACTAGCTGTCAGATGATCGCAGTGGTTGTAAACAAACCAACAGTGAACAAAACAAAACAAAAGAGAAAACAAAGGCCAACTATAAAATGATTGCCAAAATGGCCCCTTGTGAACATCACAACATCACAGGTTAGAGATCAACTTTTACATACTGTATTCAGTGTAGCTGTGCACAGTTTTCCTGTGCGATGAGGGATTATCAGCACCATTTCAGCTGTGCTCATGTTCAGTGTTACATCCAATTAAAGTGCTATAGGTAATTTGACTAAACTGTAAGCTTGTTAACAACACCTGCTGGTGTTTCTGGTCCCGCTGGACTTCACTGTAGCGGTGTTGCTGTGTTCCCAGATCTCAGCAATATCCTTTGTGCAAATCATGGTTTCATAACCAACTAAAGAAATAAGACTCACATTGTAATAAACCCAAATTATCCATTAGGGGCTTTATAGAATTAATGATTTCTTTCCTGGTGAACTTACAGCTAAAATACTACTTCAGGTTTCATAGGGCTAAGATACAGCAATAGGCTCTAAATTAAAGAACTACACAGATATTAAAGGAATGTTAATGCATGTAATATAATGTAAAATGTAACTATGCCTGGCTGGAGCAATGTCTGTGTGACGTAATGTGACATGTGAGGCAATTAAAAAGTAAAATGTGTGTGTATAAGTTGAGTCAGACGGGGCTGCATGCCAGGCTTTTGATTAACTGCAGCCAGCCCAGAACCATGAGGTGTTCCTGTCATTAGAAGACATGGAGCTCCTGCTGAGAGTGATATCAAAGGGCCACGGTCGGTGCTGCTGCTCTGCCAGCTACACCTGCTGCGTCAACACGTCTGTCACCGCCGCCACGCCGGGCCAGGGATCACACACAGGGAGGAGGGTCAGATGGAGAGATGGATAGAGGAGAGGTGGAAGCATGTGCGCATGTATGTGTGGATGAATGGAAAGAGGAGGACAAAGCGCGGGACAAGTTAGAGAGATTACTCACTGTCCTCCGAAGAGCTGCATGCCCAGCAGAGCAAAGACCACGATGAAGAGGAAGAGGAGGAAGAGCAAGCTGATGATGGACTTCATGGAATTGAGGAGGGAAACCACGAGGTTCCTCAACGAGTTCCAATATCTAGAGGAGGAAGCGGCAAACACAAAGAAAGAGACGGACAAATAATTTTTTTCTCCCATTAAATATTACTCAACATTGCTGACAAACAAGCAGTGAGTGACAGAACAAACCGATTCAAACAAACAATGCTTGAAAATAGACAGAGACAAAAACAACCAAAACAGGAAAGGCAAAGAGAGGAACAAATGGCAATATGAGCTGTCGGTGGGTGGAATAAAACAAATCAATGCGTCAGGGTCTACAGCTGCCAGTGTCAGTGAATCACAGGATTACAGCTAATCTAATGAAATAAAAGGATTGCCATCAAACTCTGGGACGGGATTGTCAGTTCAGAGAGAAAAGAATTAAGAAAGGACTGAGCAGCATTAAACCTTTGCACTCCAAAATTAAGCATTTTAAAAGAATTCCCCCTGAATTTGATACATTAGGTTTTTAGGTGGGATGTGTTTGTTAGTCACGTGGAATCTTGTCAGAATCTTTTTAGCAAAGAAATCACCAAGATATGAGTAAACCAATTGATGGCGGATGAACAGTAAAAACTGAGCCTCAGATCTGTCAAAACATGTTCTGTTTATTCATTTTACACATCAGGTTCAGTTTACTCATTATGACAAGTTGCACCAGTGTCTTCTGTAACTCTAGAGGAGCTTTGCAGAGTCTAAAAAAATAACCCTAATAATCTAATCCAGGTTTGAGACTACACATTTATAACAGAAAGCCTGCATTACAAACAGGATGTGTGAGGTTTGACTCACACTTTGGTATAAAAGACAGACCTTTTGGCACTACAGTTCCCATCATCCTCTGGGTTATGTAAAGAGAAGTGTAATGTTTCCATGTAATGCGAGGTTGATATCCTTAAAGGCAGGGGTGCTACCAATGCTTTGATATTTTGTATTAGGCGCTATTCTTTGAAATCAATAAGAAGCCCTTCCAACGGCTCCCTCTGGCCAGCACTATGTAACATTTCTGGAGGTGCCACTGCTTAAAGGTTCACAGTTGTGGTGGTGCAACAAATGAAAGCAATGTTTTCTGTGATTGAAGGCTTATGTTCTAATTAACTGTAGCTCCATGTGTGTGTTTTGAATTGAACTCACTTAGTGACTTTGAATATCCTGAGCAGTCGCAGGGCTCTCAACACACTGATACCAAACGATGCTCCTGGTTTAATCATGTCCCAGATCACCTCACAAATACTTCCCACAATCACCTAGAGAGGAGAGATGAGGATATAAGTAATCACCCGCTGTATTTGTTTCAATAAGCCAAACAGAACTTGCAATGCTGGTTAATGTTAAATATCCACCCGTGAGTCACAGCCGACAGTAACTTACCCCAAAGTCAAAGCAGTTAAAGGAGGAATGGAAGTAATTCCTGGCTCCGAGGCCGTACATCTTCAAGGACATCTCAGTCAGGAACAAACCCAGGAACACAAACTCTGTTGTGTCTGTTTTCAAGATTACAGAGTAACAAAACCAAGAGAAACTAGTTTTATAGGCCATCAACATCAATACGTGTGTGGTAGTATGACTGTGTATTTGTATGATGACTTACAGAGGGCCTGTGTGAGCCACTTGGGCTGGTCATAGTGGACTATGGCCACACACAGAGTGTTGAGGCCCACCAGACACAGAACAATCCAGTAGAAGCTCTGAGCTTTCACCATGCGGCGGATGAAGAACCGGGTCCTCTTCTCCTTCCGTCGGAAATAGGAGGAGCTGTCCAGCTTACTGCTGCTTTTCACACTGGCCCGACCAAATGGAGAGCCCGGAGGAGCTGAAAGCGATGATTGAGAGAGGTGAGGGAAGAAATTGTTTCATTGTTTTACAGTTCACGGTGAAACACTGTGTGTGTCTTTCTCGTGTCCTCTTGCTGTTACCGCGATGAGCAGCATCCCCGTTCTTGTGAGACTCATCAAGATCATAATTTTAACATACATTATGATGGTTATGCATATGCATGTCTAGGAAAAACAGGTGGCCAATTTTGGTGGTTGTTTTAGAGTGATATTATACATTATAGCAAGAACACAAATACAAAAATGACAATTTTGATTTTGGCTCTTTCGTATATATTTATAGAGGTTGAACATTTCAAGTCTGTTGCACACCTAACAGTGATGTCACAGTGTACTGGCCACACCCTGGAGTCCACTTGTGCGTCAAAGCAGCAAAAACAAGAAGTTCAGCTGGTGTTCAGTTGCTCTTAAAATAAGTTTGATATCACTCTTATGTTTGTTTGGCAAATGTGAAGCTAGTGCTAGGAGACACATGTTAGCTTAGCTTAGCATAAAGACTGGAAGCAGGGGGAAACAAATAGCCTCCTTCGAAGGGAAAAAAGCACCTCTAAAAACAATTTACATGTTCGATCTTGTTTGTAAAGACCAAACTAAAAAGGAAGAACAAGAAGTTGTAGTTTCACAGGGGTTATAGACTATAGGGGTATTTCTCTGCGGTGCAGTGACTTCCTGCCTCTTTTTACGGCCAAGAAATAGTTCCACCATGTAACTCCCCGTCAAATCCCTTTCAGTTAACATTTGAAATGCTGTATGTTAATATTTTGCCTGCGTCATACTGGTGTTTTGGAACTTTTTGCTTCACCAAAATGAACAGTTTTGTCCTGTCTCCACCTGCTGATGCTGTATTCCTTCCAATAATGATGTCTCAATGCTGCTCCAGACTCTTTTTCTGCCAGTTTTCCAAAGCTTCGCCAGGATTGCACTTGGGCCTCTGGTTATCAAAACTGCAAAAATGTGTTGGCAACACCCACGCATGTTAGTGTGCAGAGCTTTTGGTACAATCGCGGTACTACCCAGTTAGAGGAAATAGAGAAAAACTCAAGGATCTTAAGGTTTTTTAAGAAATGTGACAGTATGGTTTGGGGATTCATTCCACTTCACATCTGCTAACAAGCACTGGAGGTAATTCGTGAGACGTTAACTGATACTAACAATACCAGCCCAAGGGACAGAAAGAAAACCATAAAATCACCTGAACACTCCTTCAATTTTCCTTGTAGCTGCTCATTAAAAAATATGCACCAGTACATTTGTTGCGTGCAGCAGGACTGCAGGCATCGTGTGTGAAACAAGTGAGATGAGAGACAAAATTTGAGTGTGCAGTGTATTTATTCCCCTGGTACTTAATTTGTATGGAAAACCTTCATGAGATGAGATAGAATAAAAGTAGTGAAGGCAACAAAATAGTTTCAATTATCACGCTTATGCTCAATCCCAACCCACAGACAAGCAATTACATGTTGTCTTTGTGTGGGACCATGAAGTCCATTAATATTAAAATGTCTAATTCTAATGTGCTGCAGGTGATTTTCTTGCTATTTTAATTTAACAGTCTAATTAGAAAAGTTAATTATACTTCTTTTCCCTTGAGGTGAAATCCTTCTACGGCCAGGAGAAAGAGCTTTAGGTCTCCATATCCAGATGGTGCTAAATCTGCATCTGTAAGGTATTTTGTTAAGTTTCTGTGAGATATCTAACAAAATGTTTTGTAGTGTTGAGGTGACATGACATACTAATCTGATAAATGGAGACCAGAGAGTAAGAGGACATGGTAACGTTCATTGTAAAAGACAGGCTTTTACAGTGGCTTTCATTGTAAAGGTCGACTCTGTGAACAGACAGCAAGTGAAGGTCAGAGGTGACCTGCTGCTGGCCGTGGATAAAAAGATGTAAGACTTACCGACAGAGGAGATGTCTGCAAAAGGATCCTCCCCCTCCTCAGCACTGATCAGGTCATTTTTACCTTTCTTGGCTTTGCCTCGTTTCAGGACTGCAAAAAGAACAACACAGACAGGAACAGAAAAATAATCAGTCTTAAAATATAATAGAGTAATATTATTATAGGAATGGTGCATTTCTGTTATGCAAAAATGTATTCTTTAAATATTAATCTGTCAAAGAGTCAATTATAGCAAGAAAAAGAAAGCATTTACAAATTGTATTTCAATGGAACAGCTCTCACCCATCACGTGTGTGTGTGTGTGTGTGTGTGTGTGTGTGTGTGTGTGTGTGTGTGTGTGTGTGAGAGGGGTGAGCTAATTGGAAACTATGAATAGCAGGCATCAATCATGTTTTTCATTTGGAGATTTTCTGCCTTCCCGCTTGAAGCCAGTCTTGGAATGAAACGCTGCCAGCGCAACATGAATGTGATCGTCACATGACCAGCTCCGTGTTACCGGAGTGGTGGGTTCATCTCGAGATCTACAACCCTGCATCTCTGCTCAAAAAGGCTGCTGGGAGGCAGAACCAGGCACCAAAATGAATGAGGCTCTGAGAGTTACACTTATCTAACTAACTTTCTTCACTTGTTTCCTATTGAATCAAACTTATTTCAAGAAATTTTCTCTCTTCTAATCTTGAAACAACACAGAATAAGCCAGGTTGCCAGTGTGTAGGATTTAGAGGCATCTAGCAATGAGATTGCAGATTACAACCAACTGAAAAAAATCAACCAAGGGTGTATGAGAAACCTTGGTGGCCAAGAAACTCACTCAAATTGCAAAAAATGCCTATAGCCAGAGTTTGGTTTGTTTTGTTCTGGACTACTGTAGAAACATGGCGCACTCCCTGAAGATAAAAACAGCTTATGCTAAGGTAACGAAAACAAACAACAACGAACAACGAACAACGAACAATTCTTATATTTAGGTGATTATACACCTACAAAATATATATGAATATTATATTCCATTTCTGCCAATAGAATCTTCTGTGTGTTACACCCTGGACCTTTAAAGTATAAGAAATTATTTTATAAGAAAATCAAATTTGAAGTGTTTTAAAGGGTTTTTTGTCTGAAAAATATATAAAAAAACATCAGCAGCTTCCTTAAGTTCACCCATCCATTCTCTAAATGAATTATCCGGCCTGAAGGATATTTTCTTCTCTCCAAAGATGAGGTAAATGGTGAATACATCGTTTCAGAACAAATAATTAAAATCACCTCTTCTGAGTCAGTCTGCTATGATTGGCACTTTGCTCCACTTCTCATACCTGTCATTCATTTGACGTAGGCCAACTCTGTATTTTCTGCTCGAACAACATCAGAGTGGTTTTTCTGCGGCTGAGGACTCAGACTTTTAATCCCTGATATGTAACTAATTGAGAAAAATAATGGGTGCTGTCACTTTACTAGAATCATCAACATAAATGTGTGTGTGTGTTTGTGTGTGTGTGTTGGGGAGTGTGGTATAGTGAATTTACGTTAACAAATCCAATCAAACTAAAGCTGTAAGGCCCACTAATTAACCCTTGCCTTCACACCAGGCCTAATGGACTGACATCATGGGTGTGTGTGTGTGTGTGTGTGTGTGTGTGTGTGTGTGTGTGTGTGTGTGAGAGAGAGAGAGAGAGAGAGAGAGAGAGAGAGAGAGAGAGAGGGAGAGAGAGAGAGAGAGAGAGAGAGAGAGAGTGCCCAGTGTGTGAAATGAGGCAGTAATAGTACAGAGTAGAAACTATGATCGCCACTGAAATAAGTCGATCATAAGTGATGATTATATGACTGCTCTTATAAATGCCGGTTGGAATAGCTACATTTTGATCGGTTAATGTAAAGCTGCAGAACTGCCTCACTCCTTTTGTACATTATATGTAATGATGTAGCGTTAACTCAATTAAAAAGAGGAAAATTTAAAAAGATCTTGTCAAAACATACATACAAAGACATACTGTATATGAAAATTAGAAAGAAGTTTGGCCCTAAATCATTTGTCAAATGATTGATGTCGTTCTGAAGATATTTAAGATTATTTTATAATTTTCCATGAAATGGCTGAACAAATCCCTGAAATATTTTGGTGTACAAATTACCAAAAGTTGTAAAGTTGATGTGTTTAAATTTGCTTACCAAAAGAAAGCAATGATTTTAATTAAAATGTATATACTATATAACACTAGGATTTTTCCAGTACTATCTAGTAAATAGTGCATACATTTTGTTGCTGAGTTTAGAAATCAATTTGATTTAAATAAATTGTTAGTAGACAGTTTGTGGCATACATTTATTTGCTTTCTTGCCGAGAGTTAAATGAGAAAATTGATACCACTCTTATGTTTGTACGATAAATACGAAGCTACAGCAGGAGACGGTTAGCTTAGCTTAGCTTGGACTTTCAATCTAAAGGACCGTGTCAGTATGTCTGAGATTCACTTACACTCACACTCCACTCAACGGGTTAAAAAGAACCAGATCACATTCATGACTGATGATTTTGGAAGGATTAATGCACTGATGCTGTAAAATAAAAATCAATTATAAGATGGAAATGATGGATTGTACCTCTGTGTGCCTGGTTTACCACTGTCCTCCTGTGGTGATGGACCATGGTAAAGCAGGCAACACATACTCAGCCCTGTTTTCACCTGGAAGGTTTTGTTTCCTCTTGTACCACGCACCATCCAGCGGGGACTTCTCCTCTGCAATCTCCTCCTCCTCCTCCAGCAACACCTCCTCTGCAGAGAGAGAGAGACAGGAGAGAAGGACTTTCTATCAATTTTTTGTGTTTTTCTAACACAACAAACACATACGCGTCAGCTCTCACACTGTTTCAGAGACGAGCCTAACCTGCTTTGCAGATCCACTCCAAGTATCCAGTGAGCTCTCTCTCGATCTGTTGCTGCCGCCGAAGCTTTAGGAACTCCTGCCTCTTCTCCACACGCTCTCTCTCTTTGGCAAATTCTCTGTGGAAACATACAGAGGTACTCTTTATACACAGTAAGAATAAATAGATTTAACATTTTATGATAGTTAAACTTGGATTCAAAGCTTTTTTTTTTTCCCTCTGCATCAGACACCTGCCAGGAACCTGCACATTTACCTTTACAGCAGATAGATACTGTAGATATATCAAGATAGCAATAGATATTGTGATATGTAATGTTCTGGAAAGTACATTAAAACAATGTATAGATAAATAAACAGATGAATTACAGTTTATTAAAGGAATTGTTAAACTTTTTGGAAAATACATTCCGATTTTTCATTACCTTTGTGACGGGCCATTCTAGCTGTTTCCCCCTGATTTCAGTGCTAAGCTAAGCTAATGACCCTATGGCTGTAGCTTAATATTTAAAGGACCAGTGTGTAGGATTTACTGGCATCTAGCAGTGTAGTTGCTGACTGCAACACCCTCACCTCACCCACCCCTTCCAAGAGTGTAGGAAAAACTACAGTGGCCGCAAAACCCTATCAGCCAGTGTTTGGTTTGACCGTTCTGGGCTACTGTAGAAACATAGCGGTTCAACATGTACAAGAGGACCTGCTCCTTCTGTAGATAAAAAAAGGCATTCTAAGGTAATGAAAACACAATGATTGAACCTATGAATATTATATTCCATTTCTGGATCCTCCTAAATGTTACACACTGGTCCTTTAATACACAGATATGAGATAGTGTCTACATCTTAACAAGAAATTAAATAATAGTTTTTTCTTATATACTTGACATACAGAGTTACAGTAATTCATCACATTAATACAAAAACCCTTTAAATACTGATCAAAAAGCAGCGTTGCTCATTGACCTGAAACATTGTCCTGTGCAATTTGCGCTATCACAGATGAAAGTAGAGAATCATGAGAGAAACTTGAGAGTGGTCCTCAATCCAAAACCAGATCACACTGGGAGTTTCAGTGACTTAAGACCAAATGGTCAAAGCTTGTTTTTGGTTTTACTGCATTTTGAAATCATGAGATGATGCAAGTTGATGACACCTGCATCTCCAATTGCATTGTTTCATTCATCACACAATCTTACATTCCTCCAAACTGATGCTGTCAGTCTGAAACATTGCAACAAAGATTTTCCATCTCACACAGTGTGACATGAAATGAACCTGCAAGATTGCTGTTATCGCAGAGAGAGACCTTAACACAAATAGATATATTAGAGAGACAGCTGCTGTAGCCGTATATTAGAGAACAATCATCTCACACTAAATATTGTAATATATCACCCTACCCTTGAAGGACCACAAATGAAGTGCACTGATGGGAGAAGATAACATGTTTCTTTCACTGTTCAATCTGATCTGTGTCTCATGAGACACACACAATACACACGACATGCCTCACTCTCCATAATCACAAACCAGGCACACCCTTCCAATCTGGCAGTATATTTAAGCTGCAAAATTTCCCAGCTCTCCCTCTGCTCTGTCAATGCTGCCCTGCATCAGTACTGCTGCCTGTTGTTCTGTAAGCCCCACCACCACCCAGTCATCCACCTGTAGGCCCCGGGGCCTACAGGTGGATGACTAGGGGGTTTAAGGTATTTGCTCATCACTCCCCAATATCTCTCTGTAAACATATCTGCAGGGAGGGCCAAAATCTTACTATATTATACTGCTGTAATAAACATTTCAAACGTCAGTTCGACTGAACTGTTTTATGACAACAACAAAAAAGAAAGTATAGATGTATATATATATATATTTGTAAAACCATCACTGATGAGGAATGTGGTGGACAGTAACAGTATAATCTGGATTTTGGTGAGATGAGGGGCTGTTTGTCACAGCAGGTGAGAAGACACAATGAGATGGACAGACGTCAGATCGAGGAGCAAAGAGGAGCAGGGTGATTAAAGCCGCAGCACGAGGCCTTTTCATGACACACGAGGATGACAGGAACAGATGATGACAGAGGGAAAGTAAAAAGGAGAAGCACTAGATGATGAGGAGAAGTAATAATCTGTTGATTTTTTCTCAATTCAACTGAGTTACCAGACAGGTAGGATACTGTCTTGAAGCTGATCTATGACTGGTGGACAGTCATCCTCCATGTGTAGTACATGCTGAAGGCTGAGTTTGAACCAATACAGTGCTTTCAGATGCAGTATTAGAGTATCCTCAAAAAAGAGTCTATTAGAGACCTTTTCAAAAACCATTTCTGGTTCCTCAAGTTGCGTGATAATTATTGATCTTTTAACACTGCTTGTTGCTCTATATTTTTTTCAGATTTGTTGTTATTTACTGTGTATTTTACAGTAAGAGGAACTCTTGCAACAAGCTCAGCTAAAAAAATATAGGAAGTGAAAAGAAAATGAGAATAAAATGCAAATAAGCTGCTGATTATAAACCATCTAAGAAAATAAAAACATAAAAAAATTTTAAATTCTTCAGTCCAGTTCTTACACATTTTAATTTACAAGAGGTTTTTTTTTTTTTTTTAAATAAATAATTAATAATCTGCCTAATGTCTTAAATGTAATGTGACATGACATGTGACAAACAGACTTGGAATTTGTGATTTTGTCGTTATGTAACTTTTTTCAGATGACTTACCCTGACAGGACACCCAGCACCAGGTTGAGCATGAAGAAGGAGCCGATGATGATAAGAGGGATGAAGTAGAGCCAGTTCCAGGTGTTTCCTGCTACGTCATTGGTCTGGACACACAAACAACACAGAAGGATATAAGAAGATAGCTTAGCTTTTCTAAGAATTATAATGGCATTATTACACACATTACACCTAACACATATTTATATGTGCTGGTTAATAAAATAAACAAGTGTGAACCCTAATGCAGAATAAACCAAAAGGCAAAAGACCACCAGCACAAATAAACTCCTGGATTGTCAGGTAGTTGCATTTTCTTGAAATTTCCTTTCTAAAAAACTTATATATGTAATATAAATGAATACATTTCTCATTACTTTATATTTTGTATGCTTAATTCAAGTTAGAAAGAGCAATTTTAGTAAGAAATGGCCAATGAACATGTCCCAAAAACAGTCATTTTGTTGGATTTGAATTAACCATTTTGAGCTGACAGTGTATGAATGTGTTTCTCATCCACAGATGAATAAGAATGTATTTTTTAACAACTTGGCTGACTGAACAAAAACACTGACAACTTTTCAATTTGAAAAAAAAAAAAGCAATTAAAAAAGTGTCTGCATCATCTCAGACCTTCCTACCAAACAAACCCACCAACAAATGTCCCGCTAACAGAAAGCTATCGCGGCACAACAACTGTTTAATTCATCACGAGTTACAGCTCAGAAACACCCACCTCGAATAAATTGTCCGCAGACAAATAGGTGTGACAATTCAGTCTTCCAATGTTGAAATGACTTACACTTTCACGTACAGTATAAGTGCACACACACACAGACACACATGCAGACAACTAAGTGATGTTGCTTTTAAACATGGCGTTTCTCCATGGACATGACCCTTCCTAACGATTCTTATATTCAGGTGATTATACACTAATGAAAAACACACCTATGAACATTATATTGCATAATAACAAGTCAAATGACACAAGTGAAATAAGTGGATAATTACTGTATCTTATATTATGCAGTCTAGAGAGCATCTTCCAGTCCATTGTTTTGGTTTTATGGCCTGTAACTTCACTGTACGGTCCAGTCTCATGGCAGCAGTGTTTATCCAAGAATGTCAGATAAACCCACTGTATACATGACCAGCACAAAATGGCAGACAGATTCTGGGAGTCAGCACCCTCCATGTCCTACACAGCGGCCTGTTAGCGGGGGACAGACCTGTGGACTGATGGGCTGTGTGAAGCACAGTGACATTTTGCAGACGCCAGTGTCGGAGTGCTGCCACACGCTGGCTGTAATTGCGATGGGAGGTTCAGGGCGGCTGAATCAGCAGGCTAGAGATCTATATTATGCACCCCAGTATGTGAGATGAACACACACACACACACACACAGACACAAACATACGGTAGCACACCCTCTGTCTCAGCTGTCAGAGAAGCAGCAGCCCACACACCAGGATAAATGGCAGGCAGAAGCTTCGCTGTGTTGCTCTGCATCAGTTCTTTTTCTACATGTCCAACATATCATCCCTGTTTCATCATCTCATCACTGAGTCTTCACGTCTATCTCTGCCTAGTCTTTTCTCTAACCCTAACCCTGCATTACATGAACATCCTCCATCTTCTCTGTCCTTCCCTTCAAGTTCAGTTCAAGAAAGAATTAAGGACAAGGTTGACATTTTGGGAAATATGCTTTCTTTTCAAGGGGGGATAAGAAAGTCTATATCAATCTCATGTCTGTGTGTTAATTACAAAGCAGGCTTAGCATAAAGACTAGAGGTATGGGGAAACAGCTAGTCTGGCTGTGTCTAATGTTCACAATAAATCTACCAACACCTCTAATGTTCACTAATTAACAAGATGTATCTTTTCAACCTTTAGATGAAAAGGTTTTAGGTCAAGTTACATTCTGGAACAATTTCTTGGCAAACAACAGCTCGGGAACAGTGACTGTAGCTGCCTGAAGTTGTTGTTACAGTGAAGTTGGCTTTACAACACGCAATGGTTTTTTTTACCAGTTTGTTTCCATTACTCTAATCAGTGTGATTTCCAGCTAAAAACTCTGATAAACCATCTGTAGGCCATCTATCCAGCACTAAACAAGACACAAAGTAAGCAAACAATTAGCTAGCTATTAGCACTACAGAGCTAGATATTTCCCTCAGGAGTTGGTGGAGGCAGAGCTAAGAGGAAAGTGAATACTGGACTTTGATTCACTGAAACACAAGAATGTCTCCTGGATGTGTAAGTAGTCAACTGTTTGCTAACGCGTTTTCCATATCAACTTTAAGAGGCGGTAATAAGTCAGTGTGTTTGCAGCTTGTTGTGCTGCCCTCAAGTGGCCAAAACAATCGGTTAGTGCAGCTTTAAAGATTTCCATTTGTTCTAATAATCAGTGTAAATAAGATATTTGGTTGATTTCAAATCTTTGCGCACAATTAGGTAACATGCAGCTCTCTTTTCTGCTTGCAGTAGCAACAGATAGCTTTCTCTCCCTGGGGAACCTGGGTTGCCTGGTGTGGAGGAGAAAATGAAGTGGAAATGCATTCTGTTGCATCACTCCCAGCGTCAGCTGGAGAGGAGGAAAGACTTTTCTCTCCCGTTGACACGGCCTTAATTCTTCAGCTGACTTCTCAGGCAGACAAGCTGAGTTCACTTGAGCTTGTGCAAATGTTTTTTCAGATTCTGAAACACAGCAAGGTCTCTGCTGGTGGAAGAGTAAGTGTTGCTGTTTTGTTTCCCGATTTAAGAGGTTGAACAATCGCAATCAAGCACACGTCAATTTGTGAGCATATTTAGGACTCACTGTCTTTTCAAACTGAAAAAAATAAGTTTTAAGGTTATTAAAATAAGTCAAAATTTGATTAAAAAAACAACAATACAGATGATGTAATGTAATGTATCTGCAGCATTATCACAACAGTGTAATCAGCAGATTTTTTTTTACATCTTCCCATTTTTCTCTTCATTTTAAGCTCAGCTTATTGCAAAGAGGACCTTGCGTACTGTAACTACTGTACAGTTACAGAAAAAATATTTTTTAGGGAGAGCATAAATGGCCAGTGTCACTATAAAATGCTTTTGATCTAATAGAATTGACCAGACTGGGAGCACAGCACAGTAATCCAAGAGATGTAGGGAAGTGGGAATCAAAATGTCTGGCATGACAATTTTATCATTTTATCCACAGAAGCCTAAAGGACTAGCATGTCAAATTTATTTTTTGTTTATTGGCCTCGTCTTGTCTAGTTTGACATCTACAATGTGAACCAAGAGACTACAGACACCATGGCATTCCTGAAGCTGAACATCTCTGCCTGGCAGTTGTATGTTTAATGCAGCAATTACAAAGAGAAAGGAAAATAAAAAAGAGCGGACTTGTATTATGGCCTGTGGGCAGCAGGGAAGGAAATCCATCACTTCAATTTATCATATGTCACTTCTGGATGGAGGGTGTGATCCAGTATTCTATATTACAAACAGCCTCTGGCAAACGCATCTGTGGTTCCATCTACATTTATTTCATATATTTAGGCTAAGACCTGTGTGTGTGTTTGTGTTTGTGTGTGTTTCTTGCCAACCCCAGTAATTCTGCTTCAAGTCCGCAGATTTTCAGTCCTTTTCTCATTGTCTAATTTCTTAATCCAATTTGATCAAATCTTGCAATCTGCTACTGGGAACAGCAATAATAATAATAATAATTTATATATCTGTATATAAAGATCACCAAATCTTAAAATGCTACAAACCCACAGCCAGACTTTTGTTTTGAAATTTTCCACATATGTAAGAACATATGGTAGTACATGTCATTTAAATGCAAGAGCTGATTAGTTCCCCCCCTACCTTTAAGTGCACTGGGTATGGGGCCATGCAATGAGATTAAACTACACTGTGTGCGCAGCAGGAGAGCAGATACAGGGCATATGGCAATCCAGGCCACTGGCTATATTAATGTAGTTCATTACAAAACTGCTGATGCACTATGTTGCCTTTAGCAAGGTACTTCTAATGACCCCCATATGTTGCTTAAGTATAATGTGATGAGTAAAATGTTGTTATGAGTATAACGAGCAAGATGTCTATTTCAGTAATGCTGAACGGCAATGGTTGAAGGCAATCTGGACAAATGATTGCTAATTAAAGCTAATTATGTTATTTTATAAACCTGTTTGGAAAGCACATACCACCACAAAGGCCACACATTCATCTAAATTTGTTATTGTATCAGTAGTTCATGTTCAGAAGTTTTTAACATTCATCAGTGATTATCAGTGCATTAAAATACATATAGTGATAGACAATCATGCTGACGTCCTGGTGACTCTTAAATCTTGTCTGGTAATATTAGAAATTTGAATTGTGCGAAAGTGAGTCAGACTCCCAGACAGCCTTGTCTCATGCCCAAGTGTGTAATAGACCCACCAATCCACTAGAGGATACCATGTCAGTGTCACGTTTTGCCTCACCTAAACGTAAAAAGTACACACACTGTATGAAGGCGCAGAACCAGCAGTGGCATAAAGAGTGACAGTCCACATTTGGAGCACCAACATGCATCCTTCACAAGTCTTGTGCAGAAAATGACTGTAAAATGGTTTCAGAATAATAATAATAAATAATAATAATCAACATAATAACATGCTGTGTCTGTTTTGATACTAATTCAAGCATATAGTATTAAATGTGACAAATCAAAACAGTTGCAGATCTATTCAAATGACAATGGGCTTGGTCCATACTGTGAAATCTGTTGATATTCTGCTGAAAAAAAGTTTCCTCCTACATTTTGTTGGTATCTAAAAAGAAACCTTAGGTAATGACTTATATCCACTGAGCTTCATGTTTTCATATGAGTTCACTTGATATCGTTATTCCACCTCTGTTGTTCCCATGAGTCATCGCTGGCTGACTGCTCCGAATGATCAGTGAGGAAAAAGCAAAAGCTGCCACATAATTTGGAGTCATGCATCATGCAGTTGCGTTGTGACAGTGTACTCCCACTCTCAGTTTACAGCCACACACACACACACACACACACACACACACACACACACACACACACACACACACACACACACACACACACACA